CAGGAGTGATATTTTAGTCTTTCTTTTTTGGGGGAATTGTTATATTATTAAGGTTTTTGATAGAAATCTGAGGTTATCGACTAATATGAATTCTTCACTTTTAAATAGTATCGATATAATTAGCATTAGTTTTGAAAAAGAGATTTGGAGAGATTTAATGATTATCCTTAATTGTAGCTACGAGTATTGATTTATAAATAATGTGATCAAAAGAGTATAAACAGGATTTCGATTATGTATTTAGAATCTATAAGTGAAGAACGATGTAAAATGCTAAAAGGAGGATTATATATACAGGTATTTGGGAGCCATAAGGGTTAGGCCCAGAAGAGTAAAAGAGTCCTAGAGATAAGCATCGTACGATGCCTAGGTCTAGAGCTATAGAGCTAGGGCTCTAAGCTGTGAAAGGAAGGTTCAAGAGAGCCGTCGTATTATGCTACATACGTAGTATAAGCCAGTGGGCGGAAGAGAGCTGTCTGTTCCGTTACAAAAATATTTATAATTTTGAATAAAAGATTAAGTGTCAATTTTTATTGAAATTAAATTCGTTTTCTATGATTAAATATATTCAAATATTATATAAAAACTATAGATTTATTTTTATTTATTTTTGTTGAAAAGTTATTAGGATTTTTAAAATATTTTGAAATTTGTATACAAATCGTATATAAAATAAAAATTTCGATTTTTAAACTTCAATAAGTTTTTATATAAAATTATGAAAAATCAGAAAATCTCTAATTGAGCTAATAACTATATAAAGAGTATATACTCTAAATTTCATCTAATTAAATTCAATATTGATAGAATTGTGAATACTCGAAAATCACTGTTTTTGGTGTGAAAGGGTGGCCCGAAAGTAGGGTAGTAGACTTATTGCTCCTTTTGTGCTGCTCTCTCAGAGTCTCTCTACTCTACCTTACCTTGCATTGTCTTGTCTTGCTTTCTATCTCAGCACCTAAATAAATATAACAAATCACAGATCGAGGATCGAGGATCGAGAATTGAGTGATTTGGGGGAAAAAAGAAAGAAAAAAAAAGTGTTTATTCATTGTGCTGAGGAAGATCGAGATCGGGAGATGAGGAATAAAATCTAACCTAGTGTATAGATACCTAGATAGTATCCTCTGAACTATAAGTTCAACCAAGTAAGAATATCTGCGCACATTGTGTATTGTAAGATTATATGTTTGAGAAAATAAAATATCTGTCCCGGACTTCGCGGTGATGAGATGATGTGATGCAGATGCAGGTCCAAGTCCAGGTTTCACCCTATCCCATCTCACTGATCATTCATGATTCTCACCTCACCATCATCATCAACTCCTATACAAGGCCACCACTCCCAGAATCACCTGATTCTTCACATTCAAATCCTTCTCGAGAATGAGATATGCAACAAAACTTTTTTTTTGAAATGAGTGAGTGAGTGAGTGAATATTTTGGCTTCCCTCTCAAGTGCCAACTAACTCATCAAGAACCTATCTAAAACTGAAATCAAATCAATGCTTATTCATATCTGTGGTCCTACACATTAATACAGTAATACTCAATAGTAGATACTGAGATTTTGCTCTTGCTCTTGCTCTTGCTCTTGCTCTTGCTCTTGATGACTTTGATGAACATGTATATGCAGTAACTGCACTACTTGTCTCCTGTCGAGACTTTCGTCTCATTGCGTTGTCCAGCCTTGTGTTTTGAGATGGCGCAATAGTTTAGATGATCTTAGAGGCAAGATGATGTCTTTTGGTCCCGCCACAGAATTTCTGGTGGATTGTCCGGGAGAATGTTGTTGATTGTGGTGTGTAATCATGTGTGATTTATTCATTATCATTAACTGTTGTGGACCGATACGGTGCCAGGCGGATGACTGCCTTCTGGAGGAAACATCTTAAAAGGAGTTTGAATGCTAGCTTGCGGTATTATCCATGAGCGAATTTAGAAGTTCAATAAATCCAATGTGGGAGAATAGTGATACTCTGGTATCTCGTCACCGATAGATAACCTCAACATCCCCTCTCGGAAATCTGCGCAACCGTTCCATGATTTTCGCCTCTCCAATATTCAACACCGTAGTAATTTGATCAAAACACTGGCAACCATCCGTATACCTCTGTAACAAATTGCCCCTTCCTTCTAGATGCATAGTCTGTCCGGTAATGATCGATGCCAAATATTGCGAGGAGACAGCATATCTTTGTACGCGATAGATGAGACCTTTTATGACTCCAAACTGGATGAATCGTCGGACATCGATATAGTTGAGAATATTGAGACCTTGATCCATATGTACTTTAATCCATTCCTTCAATGTCCTTGATGTACAGAGCGTGGTGAAGAGTCGACAGAGTAGGAAATTGGTAAGGCGAGGACCAATGATGTAGACGTAATTTGCGCATTCATCTTGCATATCATCCTTGTCGGCTATGAAATCGTTCATTTCAGATGTGGGCGCGTATATGTTGCTGAAGAGGAATATATCGAGCATGAGGATGGAGTCATAATAAAGAAGATGCTGTAATGCTATTTTGGTGAGATCGAGTGCGACGTTTGCGTCATGGGCAATCCTTCTGACATCTTTGATGCCGTCGATATGTCTGATTACCTTTTTCATGGTGAGGTCCCAGGTATCATCGACGATTTCCGCAAACTTCATCTTGGAGATTGGGACGTGCCATGATTTTATCGGAGGTGGGTGTTTGTGAATGGGAAAAAGCTTCATGTTGATTGTATTGGCATCATCTATATATATTAGACCAAGCTCCTCATAATATGGGATCGCCCTTAAGTATACATACCAACAGGAATCATGCACTCATTATAATTATTCAAATCCTCCTTGATTATCTCCAGCAGTGCAGCAATGGACCTTCGATCTTGACTTTGAAACGTACCCTCCTGACTCAAAAATTCATTCTGAATTTCCATCTCCGTAAACGTACTTGCCAAACGTTTGACTACCGCTTCGTATGGAATCTTATCAACCTCGACTCTCGTCACAATGCAAAAATTAAACATAAATTCATTACGTTCGTATTTCTCGTTTTTGATACAGACGGGATGGCCTAAGATGCGATATTTGTTCTCGGGATCACAGACTGTAACGTATCGATTGCAGAATGCTTGACGGGGAATGATATACTCGGCCAGCTTTTCAAAATCGAAAAGACGTGGTTTATCTACATCGGGCTCGGGGACAATACATCCTGGGGGACTCTGCTGGACTACTTTTGTTCCTGGAAGAAGGTATTGATATTAGTAAAATGACATTGATTGAGGGTAGATATATGTATAAATGCCTTTCTGAGGAAGGAACCGAGCAAAGAACATCCCTTCAATCATGATGATAAGTTTCTCGTGTGAAGTCCTTTTCCTTGTAGTGTGGTCTGAATTATCTTATCCTCAACATCATCCAGCATCGCTGTGAATGCTACTATAAGCGTCTGTGCGAAGGAGGCTGATCTAACTGGACACGTGATCTTTAGCTCCTTCGGACTTCGGAAGCAGTTTTTACGAGCCGAACTTGAAGATCACGCATGTACCGGTAGTTACGGCCCGGCCCGACTTGAAATCCCGATAAGTTTAGCACCTTAGCCCGGTAGATACACAACTAAGTTTTAGTTTTCCGAAAAACTACCGATATATAAATCTACCCAAGATATTTTGATATATCTACCCCTCATCGCCCACTTATACACTTATACTCAGGCCGCCAGAAAGTCCGCAACTCGGGCACTTCCGTATATACTAAAAGGAGAGCTAAATCGAATCGATGATCTAAACCTTAAAAGAGAGCCTTATTCAACTAATAATATTTATGAGGTATTATAGAAAATGATGATTTTGCCACTTCCAGGTTTTTCAAGTTAAAAAAGGAAGGCAAATTTCTTATATAGAGTATTTGATATCGACTTTATTAGCAGCCCACTTAGTCTCCCGAGTTGTAGACTTTCTGACAGCATAATTACTAGTATATACTACTCGTACAAGTACATACGTTAGTTATTTCTGGAGGTGTGAGATTACAGGCTTATCGTAGTCAATTGAGCTTAAGGCCTTACTGTATACAGCCTAAGTTCTATCGCTTAACGTTATCACTGCAAGGTCATGGGGTCACACCACTGAACTGTTAAATGAAATATTTAATATTAATACAAAGGCAAGTTCACAGATTTTTCCGATGCCTTTTAATGTATCTATTCATTCACATTATCACTGATATCGTGAGACTGTAAAGATATGCAGTACCGTATTGGTGGTGTTTATCTGCAGCTCATTTTTATTCTTTCATTCCTTCATTTGAGACTTCAAGGTCAATAACCCCACCCCATAACAGATACCACTTTTCGAGGTTAGGGAAACCTTAATCCATGGCATAAGAGCCCGGAGTTGTCAGAAATCCTTATCATTGGAACTGTGGCAGTTCACTCTTGTTACAAGTCTTTTGATACATATCTGAGAACATATCTGAGATATCAAAGGGGTAGTGAGCGAAGTTAGGGGCTCAGTCGTGGTGACGAGATAGTACTGCGATCAAGAGTGTGTACAGCAGTACAGCCAACAATTCACTGGTGTACTAGACTCGATTAGGTGTCATCAATTCTATGCGCCTGCCTTTGAAGCTGACGCATATATTAAGGTGGTGTTTAGGTATCTATCAGAAGCTTTTTCCAACCTTTGATTTTCTGCAAACAAGTGCAAACGTCAAACGTTGGTGTTGGTTACCGTAGTGAACACTTGCTCCACTCAATATGCCCTCGCTACATGGCCCAGCCACTAATGGCAATACACCTATTCACTGTCAGTTTACCATTCCACCAGTTGACACTACTCCATAATCTGAACCCTGACTGATATGACCTGCTATATAATATAGCCTTGGATCTCCCACAGCTTTACAAGCGTCCATCATTCTTAGAGCTCTTACAAGTACTGGAATTACTAAAGCTTCCACCACCATCCTGGGACTCACGATCCAGCAGGTCCCAAGAACCAGATGATGCTCAAGGCATATCTCGGTATCTGACTAAAATCATCGGAAGCGAGCTCGATTGGCTGTCCAAAGGGGTATCTGAAATGGAATGGGAACATCAATGTGAAACTATCCACGGGCTTGCTAGCAAAAGACTTGCCGAACGTTGCGGGCGCTCAGGTAATAAAACTAATCTCTCGGATTGCTGGGCTGACTGATGTATGGCACGACCAAGAAATGACTGACTTAATGTAGCAATGCCAGAGATGATCCGTACTTGGGTCATCCCAACATCTGGAACTTCAAGTGACCTCGCTGTTGAACTATGCGAACCTCCACTCACTGGCGATAGCGTGGGTCTCAAAACGTGGGGTACTTCATTTGTGATGGCTAAAAAGCTCGAAGAGCTAGGAAAGCAATATTTTGGACACATCCTTTTCAATGGTGTATTGACAGAGCAAAGTGTTGTAGCTTCACACAGAGGCTCGATAATGGAATGGGAGTCGACAGTGAAAATTGAGTTGACAATGGAAAGTGATGCAACAATAACAAACAAGACGACAACGAATGGTAATGTGACAATGGGAGGAAACACGATCATGGTCATGGAGTTTAAGGTGGAAAGTAATGCGATGTGTCGAGGAGGATCAACCGGAAACAGCATTCCCAAGGGAGGGAGAATATTAGAACTTGGCTCTGGAACTGGGCTTCTTGGTCTAACAGCTACTATGCTCTGGAAGATGCCCACAATGTTGACTGATCTTCCTGACATTGTTCCAAACCTGGATGCTAACCTCAAGAGAAATGGTTTTGGTCAGACTTCTGAAACCAATGCCAACGCAGCAATCCTAGATTGGAGCAATGCAGAACACTCTGTAGTGTTCAGCCAAAATCCCAATGATAAGTTTGAGGTATGATAAGTAATCTGTAAATTTCCCTCTCTTGTAGTTCAAACTCTAATCAATTTCTAAGATTATTCTTGTTGCCGATCCCTTCTATGATTCTCATCATCCTCATCTTCTCGCTGGAGTAATCCCAAAATTCCTCAAGAACGATGAAGGCAGTCGCGTGTTGGTGTCAGTACCACTAAGAGATAGTGCCACAATCGCGTTGAAGAATGACTTTGAGGAGCTCATGGCCACTCAGGGATACCAGTTACTGGCTAGTGGGAAGGAACCTTGCTTCGATGACTGGGAGGAATCAGAACAGGACGAGAGTGAAGGAGTCTATTGCTGGTGGGGCATATGGAAGCATGCTGTAGCAGCATCTACTCCTATATGCCTTTGATTTGATACAAGATTCGCTCTTGAGCCTCCCCCTTCCCCCCCTCAACCAGTAGATAAAATAAATCATAAATCGAAATAGTGACAAAGCAAAGTTTTGTGTGGTTGATGTGATTGTAGATTGTTGTTACCAAATCAGTCAACTTTTTTTTCTTGTCCTTGTTACTTGAAGGTGCCTGCTTCCAATATTTTTACCACTTTTAAAAGTATCTTGTATAGCACAAAGCATGTCGGTATGCATAAGCCTTTTTAAAGTTAGTTGTATGATGTTTCATAGCACTGGGATGTTGCATACCATTCAACTTCATCGATTTTTATCGTAGTGTATTGTATCTATCTCATTTCATTTTTCTGTTTGTAATCAGTATCTACAGTCAGGAAAATACAAAAGTGCCTAAGAAGGTGTGGCTTGATCTAGAAAGGCTTGTTTATTCCGATTGGAGGAAAATCTACACAACCTTCATTCTAAGGCTCTATCGAAGCTAGGGTTAGGCTTGTCATTTTTACACAACATCTAAGTAATCATGTCGACCAGTCAATACACTGGGATTTTTGTTGAAGCTATTCAGAGATTTACTCTATTTTCTATTCTTCAATATACAATCACACAGAGCTGTATCATCCCGTAATGCAATATTCGCTACACTCATATGCATAACGTCTTGCCGAAAAAATGATGTTTCTGTGCTTTGCGAATCTCATCAGAATTGAATATTCGAAACATTCAAAGACTTCTTACTTCATTAATATAATCCAAGACTGTAAATAATCAAGACGGACGATAGATCTTTTACTTAATCATTCATTAATCCAATTTTTGTTGAAAACGAAGTTATTTTGATACAGTTATCGTGAATTGAAATTCAAGTTTCAATACTGGAATGAAATTTGTGAGGAGTCAAATACGTTTTCAGGGGAGAGACGTTAATTATGCATATGAGTGAGTGAGTGTAGATGATTACGCTGTATATAATTACATTTAACTCTAACCCTCATCAAAGCTTCCGTTTCTACCATCTATTATCCGGAACTCGGAAATTGACAAATATAAGATGATATGGGGAGGCCCGGGCTATGATGATAGATGAAGTGAATCCCTAAAACGCCCATTGGTAGAGATTTCCTCCTTAGAACTCCCTAAAATATACTTGCCGATAATGAGGAAAGGATAACAAGCAACAGGGTCTTTCCTCTCTATCTTCTGAACCATCAACCCTATAACTTGAAAATTTAGGCTACCTTCCATTTCCTTAACTTACTCCCATACCCTGAGAAGATTTTGCTTCTCTTGAGTTCTTCACTCTCACCAAACATCTTCTATATCAATTTTTCGATTGGAACTCCGGTATCTTCAGCCTGTGGTTTTAAATAATATACCTTTCTCTTCTTCCAATCTATTAGATATTATCCTCTTGCGAGCTTGAAGCTCTTGCACAACTTCCTTTCGTATCCGATTATCTACACAAGGTATCAAGCAATCTGGTTTTCTATTTCTACCCTCCTCTGCTCCTCGATAATTGAGATTCCTAACTCTAGCTAACTATTTGGAAGAGCTTTCAGGCTTTGCGACCCATAATTAGCATTCTTATCGCACTCTTCGACACCCCGAATCCATCTACACACACACTCCAATCCATTTTCGCAGACCCCCCGAAAAGCAAACACGACTTTCGAACTTTACGATTACAAATACACATAGCCATTGAGGTCACCAGCTACCTCATACCTGAGTTCTCTTATCAAGTGTTCGAATCATTCTCCGGAATCGGCTTTTGGCAGGTTTCGTGAATAACCAATTAACAACTGATTGCCTCTCGCTTCCCATTCCACATTTTTAGTCTCTGGACACCTATGAAATTAGAATTTTTCATCTACTTATTCTTTCTTCCTTCTACTTACTATAAACATTATCATTTCCACAGATACTACTCTTCGATCCAGATCTTTTATCTTCAGAAACTTGAGACCGAAGTCAGAGTACTAAGCATTCCTCACTCATACGAGATACCCCTGACTCTGCTACGACCATCCTACGACCATTCTACGACTATCCTCCTCATCTCGGCTATCCTGAGACTATTCTACAACCATCCTACTCATCAAAGGAAGTCGAGATATCCGACTAATTTTGAATACACAACATCATCATCCCTCCCTGTGATCGATCTAGAGATCATTCGGGTCCATTGGTATTCATAATAAGTTTGTAGTATACACACTGGTTTGCTTCTCTACAGTCCTTTACCTCTCAACAAATTTCGAACGGACATAATTACACAATCCGGAAAGATGGTGGGTGTTAGAACTTGGACAGATGATGCAATCTGGTATGTCCTACTGGCATCTGAGATCTTGGAGCCACACTCCTCGGTTGGCAGACCAAACAGGCGCTTTACAGATGAACAGATAGCAGCCTTTTGTAAGCAGGATGTCGAAGATTTGCACCATGTTCCTGATGCAAGTGGTATCAAATATGTTCGCAATAGTAAGAAAGCAGAGTAAGTCTCATCCTTGAACACTTCATAGTCATGAAGCTAACTGTTATGCACCAGATATAAACTGGCAACGTAAGTATTAATCAGTCTTATACCAAAATCCCAAAGATCAAGCAATTCTTCCAATTTCCTTTTCCATTGTTATCTATTTCTAACCTTTGAACTCTGCCATCTGTCCTCTTCCTTTCTTGGGTCTTAATTTCTGATTTCTTTTAATAGTGCACCAAAACCCTCTCCAGCGGTGTTAGCAGCCATTGAGCGACTCCGAAATCGACATGATCCCCCTTCTCAAGACAAGGACAATACAACAGGAAACATGTCGAGCAGGAGGGGAAATCCAACAAGCAGTGCCAATCGTCGGCAGTTACAGGAGCCCACCTGCAACGGACAAATTGGTAATCGACAACAACCCCGGGGCTCCATGAGACCACAAACTCCACCGGCATACCCTCCAATGCCTCCTCAGATGATGGGTTCATTCAGACCTGGTGTTGCACCTCCGGCTCCATTAAGCCCAAGAATGAACAACAGGCAGAGATTTAATGTGCCAACACAGAGTGGGAATAGCCTTTCTTGGGACCCACAACAAATGTTCCCCGATGGCATGTATCAACCACAAGGATACCAGATGGGTCCAAACACATCGACATTCCAGCCACAAATGCAGGCTAACAACAATGGAATGCCTTTGAACGTGGCATACCCGACAAACCACGGGCAATACCCACAGGGCTTCCCAGAGGTCAACAGGAATGGAATGATGATGCCACAAGGTCAGGGCGGTGTTCAAAGTTCTCCCAATTTCCATCCTGCGATGTATTATGGACAGCCTAATGGAGGCATGGTGTCACAGGTGAATCCTCAGTATTGGGGACAACAACAGGCTGGTTACAGCACCAATCTCCCTGGCCCACCTTCAAACTTTGGTTTCAATGGTGGTATGATGGCTGCTCCATTCATGACTCAAGCTCATGATGGACTCCCACAAACCACAATTGCCAATTCTGGGCTCACTGCACCATTTGACAACCAAGCACTGTCGAATATCTTTGGGAGTCAAGATGCTTTTGCTGCCGACCTTGATATCATGCCCCAGCAACCACAGCCACCTGTTAGGAATGCAGGAAAACGACAAAGAGACGTTGATGACTTCTGGCAGTCTGACATCGTTTTCAATGAAAATGATGAAAGAAACAGGAAAAGACATAGGGGGGAGGATGCTGGTGAATCTGAGCAGATGAGATATATTGATTCAAGTTGTCTCCAAAGATCATCAGACACACCAGAGCCCCCTACTGTTACTCCAGTCATCCGATCTCTTCCTGCTCTTGTTGCACGCCGTAGAATTTCCTCTGACAACAATCATGATATCGTGGATAGTACTGTGCCTTCTCTGCCTGCCCTGGAACAATTCGGTGACCAAGCTCAAGAGCCATTTCTCGGATATGAGCCATCATCTGAGCCATCTTCCCAGGACAGATCATCAGGAAGTCGTTTTGTTACACCACCTCAAGTCAACATAACACCAGACACGATGTCTCGATCAGCTTCCAACAAGTCAGCAGGGGTCTTTCCTGATCAGCATGTTGAGGGGTCTCCCAACCATATGAACCTTCATGGCATGGAAGATAACCTTGAAGATCTCCTTGATATGGATAATCTCCCAGGCCAGCCCGAGAATGCAGACCTTTTGGACCCTGGGATGCAATACTTTGATTTTGATTCTTTCAGCAATTAAATCATGGAAGTTGCATCATTGGAGACAAGTAGCAAGGTACAATTTCAATACAGAATTGTCCCTGTCGACACTGGTACTGGTTGGTGGTTAGGATATTGCACAATGCGTTGAGGGAGGAGCATCATATGTCTTTTGGGAGTTGCAGGGAGTTCAGGGCCTCATATACCCGATCATATTTGAGTCTTCATTTCATTCATGGTCTACAGTGGTTTCATTCCGTCGGGGTTGGTTATGGTCGTTGTTGGATTTACCATCCATTATATTGGTTGTGTTGGGAGTACAAAGGAAGGATTTAATACCATGGGAGCGTTGGAATTTGGGAGCGTTGGAATTTGGGAGCTTTGGAGTTTGGCAGCCGTTGGAATTTGGCAGCATTGGTAGCATTGGGTACGATACCACTTTCATAACAGGATATCTCCTCCAAGGGGATTTTTCATTCTGTATTATGAGCGGAGGTCACATAGACTCGGGCGTTATGCTTTTCAGCAACGGATTCATGATCATGATATTTCTTTGGTGGTGGTAGAGTTTACCAGGTATGATATGTTTTACCTGTGATATTAATAGATAGATAGATAGATAGATAAATCGTATTGGTTATCTTTTGGAGGGATTTAATACTACGACTCTACGAGTTCTTTCTCGATATAGTTGGCTATGATATGATGGAGGTTTGTGATGGTAATTGGTGATGATGTGATGTGATGTGATTGTGTCAGTGAGGTGGTGTGATATTTCTTTATATATGTAATAGGTGACAGTGTTTTGAGGTCTACTCTATATGTGAATGTATGATCCCCTTGATCAAAATGGTGAAGGGATGCGAATGGAGTCAAATAGATTGATGCATGTGAGCAGTATTATAGGTAGTCAGTTGAATGTTTCAAATTTAAGTTTTTCCAAGTTTGAATATTGAATCTATATATCTAGTGTTCTGATTCACGTTTTTTTATATTACGCCTTTTTACTTGAGGTTGAGGTTGAGATTGAGATTGAGATTGAGGTTGAGGAGTTGGGGAGTTGGGGAGTGGATGAATGGAGGAGATCCTCTTGTAAGAAATTTCCTCACGTATACGGTATATGGATGGAATTATCGCACTGAATCACGTATTGTATTGGAGATGCATTGAGATGTATTGAGATTTCAAAATCTAATTAATTCTTCAATCATATTCTATTCCGTTAAAACTTTTATTCAATACTCGTGATAGTAAGTCAATTTAAATACCTTCAATATTCAATAAGTCAAAATGGGTTTTCATGATTTGATCGTTTATGTATATACTCGAGTAAATGATTAAGGGGTAGCGACGACAAGGATACGGCGACAAGGGTGCGAAGACAAGGGTGCGAGGACGAGATTCAAAATAAGGTATGAAATTCCTACTAAGGGAATAGAAAGAAAGAAAGAGAAGAGAACTTGGATGGCCCCGGGAGCGAAGGAGTGGCAATTGAGAGGGTGGCCAATGGCAAATCGATGCGACGATATCGGAGGACTGGTTGACTAGTTTAGCTTCAAATCTCAAAATAGGTATATGCTTGAAATCTTGATACACGCACTAAAAAGGATGCTTGCAAAAAAGAAATGCCCGATTTCCTTGTATGAAGAGTACTCGAGTGTATGATGGTATGATGTGTACACTACTGTACCTATATGTGTGGTGGGTGGGTGTGTCTTGATTCGTGAGGTGGTGTCACTGGTGTTATAAGGCTATCATGTGATGTGTAGTGTAATTATAGGTGAGTCACTGGGTTACAGTATCCATAAATAATCATCTTCGCGTGGGTTTTCTGTGCACGTGGGCTATCTAGTATCTGTAGATAAACTACTCGGGTAAGCTAGCATGTGCTACATGTGCCACATGGTGGTAAGTTAGTAGCCTAGTTTTTGACTTTGAGTGGCGGACTTTCTGGGTTGGTGGGTTATTTGTAGATATCCTGCAGATAATCCACAGATACCTATTTAGATTTCCCAATAACCTATTTTGCTAGCAGGTAACCCGTGGGGTACCTATCAGATCAATAACCTGCTTCGCAAGGAAGAAGAAGAAGAAGAATAATAATAATAATAATAACAATATAATAATGTGTATATGTGTGATGGGTGGGTGTGTTTTGAGGTCTAAATGTGAATATATGAATACCGGTATCTCTTAACCAAAATGTTAAAGGGATGTGAATGCTCAAATATAAAATTCTTCCAAGTTGGAACATTGAACAAAAGGGTCCAGGTTTGCTTGAAATTGACATGAACTGCATTTCTCTTAATGGCAAGAGGATCCAGTCTGTTAGCACTAATAACTGGAATTGAACAATTCCACCACCAGAAGTTCTAATGGTATATAAAACTCATCTGGGGTTTTGATTCAGGTTTGTAGATTATGGTAGTTTAATATTTGAGTTTTTGTAGAGTAGAGTAGAGTATGTATCTAGTCTTCTTACTTGGAATTTAGGAGTCGAGGAATTGAGGGGTTGAGGAGATGGTGGTATGGTACGTTATTCAAGTTGGGAGTTTATTTTTGGGGTGGAGCGGGGTGGATTGTATTGATGTTTTGGGATGTATTATATAGAGATGAGTTGAGTTGAGTAGAGTAGAGTAGAGTAGATTTGAGTACGAGTAGAATTGAGCTGAGTAGATTAGAGCGGGTTGTGATGAATGTTGGAGATGAGATGAGATAAAATGGAATAGTTTTTTTATTTGATTTGATTTGAGATGAGAGTGGTTACATTAGTTATATTGTCTGATATTTTATTTTAGAAATTAGAATGTATATACTGAGTAGTTGTGGTTCTGTACTCGAGTAAGTAGTTTAGCATAACCTGTTAGTGCCAGTGATGGATTTCTATAAGTTGGGATCATGTAGTGAGTTTGTGAGCTGCGATGGTATTAATTTTATAATATAGAATTAGGTTGTGATATTAGGGATACTATACGAGTATATAGCTCATCTATTGTTCTGAGATGGATAATATAATGGCGATTTGCTAGTCTAACTTAGCGATTGGGATATTTTGGATTTCAATTATTGGTTTTATAGGTCCTTTATCTGGGTATGAAGTTCGAATAATATACTCACTATAAGATGTGTTGCTGAAGTAAATAGACGTTAGTTCCATATCTGATATCACAGACATTTAGATTATGAGAATCAATTATCTCAGTCCTCTCTCTGTAGCTTCAATATAATCAGATTATTCTCTTCAAACAAAACCTACCAGATTATTAATATTCAATTTCATCTCATATTCTAAGAGCTTACCTTGTTCTTTTCTCATCTATAAGTATATTCACATCAAATTCTCTTTCGCAAGTATGATTTTATAATCATATCATCAAGAGCCATACGTACTCATACTCATACTCCAAACCTCCAAACCCAAAGCAAAAGCAAGAGAACCTGCTACAAAGTTTTTTTAAACCGTAAATATCAAGTGAATAAAGGCTACCGAAGTAGCGATCAAGAACTAACTTGAAATTATCCAACTTGTTTTAACGCTGACTGTGTATTGCATCTTTGCTGTGAGAACGAGAAGCTATGTGTATATGTAAAGAAGCTAGTAAATTATTTGAAAATGTGTTGGCTTGTTATTGAGATGATGTATTGGATTAAGAGAATTGGGATAAGATAGATACTTGAGGGTGATATTGTTTTTGAGAAGTGAATTTCTGAAGAATTGATACGCTTTGATTGAATTGGATCGTTTAATCAGAAGGGGGGGAAATGAGTAAAAGAATATAGGACGATAGCTCTAATAAGTTGTACAGAACAAGATATTGTTGCACTGTAAAATCTTGATACTTTTGCCGCATATCTATCTGTCTTATTATTTTCCAGTCTGAAAGCTTGGTGTGGTGGCCTGAATTGTCATTTGATTGTAATCAACTCACTTTCCAATTGAATACTGGAAGTAGTAATAATTTTAAATGTCCTATGTATTTGAGCCATCATCTGGCGAGTTCGGACGAGCATTATCATGGCACTTTTCATCAGTCATTGATTCTAGACTAGACAATGATATAGAAACTTGAAGATTAGATGAGAAGTCTGACTGAGTGATTACCAGATCGATGTAGATGTACCTCTTCGCAAAGTAGACATATCTATATTTGAATGATTTGAACGTATCTCATGCAAATCCATCGCATAGTTTAATAATAATACTCCATCCCTAACATTCCTGATATCCCATTCATAGACAAAATTGCAAACAAACCGCCACAAGCCATAACGCACTCGGATATCAACCCATGAAACTCATCAATCATCAAATCTCCTAGCCAAATCACCAATAGGAAGTCCAAGACATATCACATGACACCATTATCCCCCTAGATCGTCTGCCACTCAGACTACTTCAACCTTAACTTTATCCTTTCTAGCCCGAGCTCTTTTCTGCGGAGACAAGGTTTCATCTTTGTGATCCTCGGCTTCGCGCTTGGCTATGTTTTTTTGACGGAGGGCGTAGGTTCTAGTGTTGGGGGGTGTCTATGGAGTGCATATGGTTAGTGAGTGGGTCAAGCTTTATTAATTGGGGAGGAATCAGTAGGTTGTAGACTCAGGGTGAAGATGGAGATGGAGGATATCGTACGTACAGTGGGAGCTGATGGGTGATCCCCAGGTTCTATTTTTGGGTGGGAAGTGTGACTTTTGGGAACGGTGCGGGGGCCAATAATTGAGAGTTCTGGGGTGGTGGGTGGAGTTGAAGTGGCAATGGGCGTTGAAGAGGGCCTGGATGACATGGTTTGAAAATCGATTGGATCGGGTGTCCCTTCCGGAGTTCTGTCTACGATGAGGAATGATTTGAGTATTTCTGGAGAAAGGGTTAGCTATCGAGAGGAAATGGGTGTTAGATAAGGATGTTTGAGTCTGACCTCTGGATCGATATTTGAAACTGAAACGGCCAATGCAGCTCTGATCCAATCCACCAATGTATGTGGCTGTGTTATACTTCGTGCCCCCAAGAGAAACACTACAAGGTTGGGGAGGCGCCAGTCTATCGGATGATTAGTAATCCCCTGATCCTGTTACGCTAAAGTTAAGTGGCATACGTAGTACCATGGGACTGGAATTCTTGTCCAATAGTGACTGCTTTCACATGAAGCTCTTCTCCCGTCGCCGTGTTCATATCAGTCGACTTAGGGCTGGGCCCTCCGACTGTTATATGTGATCCTGTTATCTTTCCACGATGGAAAGAGACGATGATTTCACCAAGCCCTTTGACAAGTTGGGCATCATCTAGAGCCTTGCTCAAGGCCATTTCGTCCTCGGCTCATGAATATTAGCACATATAGGTGGGGTGTGGACTTGGATATAACTTACATATTGTCAACTTAGAGAACGTGAAAGCTTTGAAGAACTCCTGACCGTTCTCGCCACTGTATAGGCCATTCGTACGGACTTTCCATAGGCCTGTTTTAAACAAGCTAGAATTACAACCCTTTACGTAACATCCGTCAATGTATATCCTCATGATCAAGCAGTAGGTGTTACTGGCATAGTGTGATTTGTGACCCTCATCCACGGTGATGTTAACAGAGAAATTTTTGTCATTCACTGCCTCAATATACTTAGAAATAGTCTTCGAAGCGAGCAGTTTCTTCACCTCCGGTTCGTCGGCTTCATTCTTTATGTCGTTGTTTTCATACTCTACAAGTGGCACGCCGTCGACAAGGACAGTCGCTTCGACGCCGGGAAGAAGATCGGAGATAGCCATCGCTGTAGGTATTTCTTATGGACACAGTCAGCTCGTACTTTTCAAGCAGCTACCTGACAATGATAGAATGGTAACCTCCAATCATATGTATGAGGCACATCACTAGATGAAGATCGTTCAGGAGAAGCATGAGAAGGAATGAAACACTCACCGGACACTTATCAGCTTATACAGTATCTTGTCTCTCGAATAGCTTCACCACGAAAACATGATGAAAGTGAAAGTGAAAGTTGTGAGGGTACCAAGCACTACTTATCAATGAAGTTATGAAATCCAAATATCAAGAACGTGAATGCCGAAACGAGGGGCAAACGAGGGGCTAGGAGAAGGAAACCATACCCGTCATGACCTCCCCTCATATCGAGGCTCGTGCGCAGCAATCCAAAGTTCTGTATGATATCCGGCAATCTGTATTGGGAGAGGCGAGGCAGTATCTTACATCCTTGTTGGCGGAAAATAATAAAGGAAGTTTAGGCCGGTTTTCATCAGAATTTCATGTATAATTGCGTTGCGGTAATTTAGACCCTCAATCGTTGTCCAATATGTGAATGATATGTCATGTTACACAAGTTTGGTAAATTACAAACGGAGCTTCGTCAACCTCGGAAGTTTTGATCAGATGTAGCAAACAAGGATTGGGTTTAGGAGAAGCAAAACGTGTTGTTGTTCTGGTCAATCAAACTTGATCATGAAATGGAACTCTTTCAAAGCTAGAATCTGAGATCCATAATCATTAGCTTTTACCTAATCATACCAAATGGCAGTTCCGAGCCCAAATGGGATGAAATGCTTCCCTTTACCCTTTAGCCCAGAGTTGAACACCCAGACCAGATGCGACAAAGCCCCACCAACATTATATGCCACTATATGTAGTGTTTCACTCTCAAGTAAACTTTTATAGAAGAGTAGACAAGAAATCGTTGTAGAACTTCACCGGCCCTCAAAGCTCTCGCATATCAAGGAGTTGTAATGTATTGCTCATCTTTTTCTTTTCCTCGATCGCGCTGTCTTACAGTAGAGATGAACGGCTCTGCCATATCTTCGTCGTCACATTCGCGCTTCATTGCAGAAACGGAGGGTTCTGCCAACAAGAAGCGCCCTTGAGAGATTCTGCAAAAAGTTAGTCATGAATTAGTCATCGAGAATCTCGTCAATCAACCTTCTTCCTTCGGATCGACACCACAATTCGAAAATTACCTTGGGTATAACGATTCTCTTCCTGTCCATTCCACGATACATCACATCCCACACATCCCGCACATTCACATCAATGACATGACATTATCGACTGGTTTGGAGGATCCCAGTTTGCGCAATGTTCAGTGTTCAGCTGTATAACGTTGATTGTGGGTATATATACCAACGTAACGATGTGGGACTGACACTTTCTTCTGGGGTAAATTGCTTCGCAACAAAGGTCCTGGTTCACATACTCCAACCGCATGGACAAATAATAAATACCACTTAGATTTATGTGAGATAAAGCAACATCGATAACCATGGTATTATACTAATCATACATATTTCAAGACATCATTCGTACGCTCGCAAGACCAATACCCATCCTCAAACACCTTTTCCTTTCCGCTCCCCCTTTGCAACTCTATCGCTAAACATCGATGCTAAAATGACTAATTTGACTATAATACGCATGCACCGCCAATTCTAACACCGATACATCTCCAAACACTTCTCCGCCATCGAAACCTCCGATTACCATGAGTCTGCTATCGTGAAGCACTGTTCCGTGGTATCCGCGAGCTTTGATGGGCTCTCCGTAGACTTTTCGCTTATCCCACGCCATGGTGACGAGATTTAGGAGGAGTACTTCGTTCGAATATTCAACGCCGTCGTGGCCACCTATTACAAATAGATAGCTTCCTACGATGGTAGCAGTATGGCTTAATCGCGGATACGAAAGTGCAATATTGACCGGTGAAAAACTCGAAGTCTCAATATCGAAGACCCATACATCTCGGAAACATTCCCCACCATCCGATCCACCGAATACAATGAGCTTAGATCCGACTATGTTTGCAGTATGATAACCACGCGCTTTTGGCTTGGTGTTATCGTCAACAGATGATGACGTCGGAGCAGAAACGAGTTTCCAAGACATCTTGTTCGTATCTGCGACGTCCAATCTCCATACGTCATTTAGCGCCCGTACTCCATCTCCACCACCAAAGAAGTATATCCCATTTTTGTATAAACATGCCGTATGTGCCCTTCGTTTGCTCGGTATCTTATCTCCAGATATCCGTGGCTTTGACCATCGAAAGTTTAATGTGTCGAGTACATATATATCGTTGTAATATGCAGGTCCATCTCCACCACCAAATACTATCAACTTCTTCCCCACGGCCGTGCATGTCATTGCTCGTAAAGGAGCAGGTATATCTCCACAGACGAAAGGGGTAGACCAATAAAAGGCGTCGGCATCTAAGATATATAATTCGTTGAAACATGAACGTGCATCACATCCGCCAAAGACGTAGATATTGGAACCAATAAGTGTGGAAGTGTGTGCCCGCAAAGAGGTATGAGACGAACCAGAGACAGGGGCGCGAGACCAGTACATTCCTGATGCTGGTGCAGGGAGAACATTGGGGGCCAAATTTGGATCTGGTAATGAAGGATATGGAATGGAGATCCCACGAGGGGGACGTTGTACGGGTGGTACAGGAGAAGAAGAGTATGAAGATGAAGAAGTTTTCGGTGCTATGGCAGACGTGGAACGAAGGTTAACGGGTCTATGGGCATCTTCTTTGGGAAGTGGAGGTACCGGATTACCACTATCGGGTGGTGACATAAAGTTCTCCGGGGGATCAGACGTACTGCTGCCATGATGGATAGAGGGTGGGTTCGCGGTCGTTGATTTGATGGATGAAGATGAGGATTCCTTTTGCGACAATGATTGTGATCGCTGGCGCAACGATAAATCTGATTTCTGCTTCCGCCTATCTTGACTCTTAGTTGATAGATGTCCCGGGGTATGACTGCGGGGAGGAGGCACATTCTCTCGTGGTGGTGGTGGTTCGGAATCCTCAGGGATATCTTGTGGTCTTGTATCTGTTGAAGGTAACTGAATGATTTTCTGCGAACGTACAAGTTTTGTTTTCAGAGGAGGACGAGTCTTGTCTTTGGGAGAATCAGCCATTGTAAATGCGCCTTGTTTTACTTGAACAATAAAATAGGATTTTCATTGTTTTTCGTAAGAGAAGAGCGAAAGTGAAAATAAGATTTGAATGAATGCGGTCGTGGCTGATGATTTTGCGGTTGGTAATGAATTATTGTAAGTTTAATATGCAGTAAACATCGCGGATGTCGCAGGAAAGATGGAGTTTCCCCCCTTTGATTAGCTGTCCTGTCCTTCACTGACAGTGGATAACCTTTATATGTTTATGCATATCAGAATATAATGATTGACTGAATGGGTAGTGTTGCAGTGTCTTGATGTATATATAGCCATAACTGAAGGGCCACTTGTATACTGTAGGAAAAGAGTTCACTTCCTTCTTCTACCCAGCAGAAGACAATGAATGTTATCAATCGATCAATCGAGGGGTTGTGTATAAGTTGGAAGTCTAAATACATGTTAAGGCTGAGTCAATTCCAGCCAATCCGGCCAGCCTCATTCAGCCAATTATCCGTCAGCCACTGATTGATCTGGGCAATTCTAGATTATATATCAAGCCACATTACCGGCATTGTGGCTAAAATGTTTTATCAATAAAACGAATGAATATACGGTATATATCTCAGAAGACGCTAAGATAAAGCTCCCCTCAATTTTTTTATTGATATACTTTAATTTGACAAGATAAGAATATTTTCAACATTAAAATCTCATTCCATTCCACAGCATTGTAATTTTGTGGTTGTGACAAAAAGTATTCAGACTATTCTCAACAATTGAAAGCCATCATGGCCGACGAAATCTCCAATCCCGTAGAACCCTCTCAGTCTTTGAAACGACCATTAGATGGAGAGCAATTGGAGGAAGCGCATCCACCACAACCAATTCTACCAGAAGATTCAGCAATCACAAAGGCGGAGAAAGTGGAGAGAAATGGTGCAAACGGTGACTCTGCGAACAATGGAGAGCCAGCGGCGAAAAGGGTCAGGACTGAGGAGCAAGATCATAAACCCACCACGACAGATTCTCGTGACAGGGTTAGAGGAATAGCTTCTATCAAGGCCGAGTAAGTTAATCATATGTCTTTCCGTTGTTTTACATTGAGGCGCCTCAACATGTACCTTTTAATCTAGCGGCGACTAAATTGTTTTTCAGATACTTGCTTCAACCAGCCGGAAGTCGATCAGCCACAGATAGTCGCAATCCCGTAGCCAACGACGATGCGGCAGAAGAGAAACCTCATGGTGACGATCGTGAAAACGGAGGCAAAAAGAAGAAGAAGGAGAAGGGCCAAAATAAAGATCGTCAATTTGGGTCTTGGGGTGATACAATTAAGTTATGCAATAGCAGGTCGAACTCGCCAGAATTTTCGCCCCAGGAATGCAGTTTTGGAGATACCTGTAAATGCGAACACGACCTCAGGAAATATTTGGCCGAAGGAAAGCGAGAAGACTTGACCACATTCAACTCGAAGTGCCCAATTTGGGAGGATAATGGCACATGCCTGGCTGGTTGGAAGTGCCGTTTTGTAGGAAGTCATTCTCAGGAGGTCAAAAGGGAGGATGGTCGAATGGAATTGGTCCTCATAGATGACTCAGATCGTGCAAGTGTCACGGTAGGTGAGGGTGGAAAAATCCTCACAGGTGTAGTGAACGTGGTCAGTACCAAAGAAAAGCTTGATCTGGCTCGGAGGAGAACGCAAACAGAGAAAGCCGATGTCTATACGAAATGGCTGGAACAGAATTCAGAGGAAGTTAATAGACAAAGCAACATGAAAAAGGAACAGACTGAGGAAGAAAAGAAAGAGAATCGTGCGCGGTTTGTTGAACCTCCGTTTCTCCCTTCTGAGAAGCGACGGATTTACTTTGGACCCGAAACACCTGTTCTTGCTCCTCTCACCACTCAAGGCAATCTTCCATTTCGTCGACTCTGTGTGGAACTAGGAGCACAGCTTACTTACTCGGAAATGGCCATGTCGATACCCTTGTTCCAAGGCCAAAAATCCGAATGGGCATTAATGAAGGCACATCAGAGCGAAATCACACCACCACGAGTCAATGCAAATACGAGTTCGATTGTTCAAACTTATGACAATTCAAAGGACATGAAGTTTGGTACCCAGATTTCGGCCAACAAGCCACAACAAGCAGTCAAAGCTGCTGAAGTTCTAAGCCGATTGGTGCCACATTTGCGAGTAATCGATCTTAATTGTGGATGTCCAATTGAACTTGTATATCGACAAGGAGCTGGCTCAGCATTGCTTGATGCGCCATCGAAGTTGGAGAAAATGATTCGAGGCATGAATGCGGTTTCTGGGGAAATTCCTATCACAGCCAAGATCCGAATGGGCACCATGACAGGAAAGCCTAACGCCCTTAAAAATATTGAACGTTTAGCATTTGGTGGTGCCGAATCCCGCGAGAGACTTGGTGCTCCTGGTTGCGCTGCTATTACTCTTCATGGCCGTAGCAGACAACAAAGATATACCAAGAATGCCGACTGGAGCTACATTGCGGAATGTGCTGCTCTCGTCAAGTCATACAATCAAAAGAAGGATGATTTGACAGACACAATCATGGAACCAGATGCCCGCACATTGCCAAATGCCCCCGACGGAAAACTATATTTCATCGGCAACGGTGATTGTTATTCTCACAATGATTATCTCGACCACATACAGAATGCCGGCGTAGATTCCGTCATGGTGGCACGTGGTGCACTCATCAAACCATGGCTCTTCGAAGAGATTGAAAAGGGACAAACCCTTGATAAATCCGCCTCAGAGCGTCTACAATATGTTGAGAAATTCACACGATACGGACTCGAAGCCTGGGGCTCTGATGAGATAGGTGTTGGTCAGACCAGACGATTCTTATTAGAATGGTTAAGCTTCGCTCATAGATATGTTCCAGCAGGTATCTTGGAACATTTACCACCCAGCTTGCAGGATCGTCCACCGGCATACAAGGGAAGAAATGATTTAGAGACGCTATTGGCCAGTGATAATTATATGGATTGGATGAAGATTAGGTATGTTTTTTTTGATTACTTCTCTCACTTTATATATCTCTTTCCCTGCATTGCAACAATGATACTAACAAAAACAATCAGTGAAATGTTCCTGGGTCCCGCACACAAAGACTTCAAGTTCCAACCTAAACATAAATCAAACAGCTATGAGATCGAAGCGGAAGGATAGTCAAAGTAAGAGGGCCGTTTGAGGGAAGGATTTACAAGAAGACTGCAATTTGCTTACTAGCAGGCGTTACATTTGATCAAGGAAGGGAATATAAGATTACAAAATCACGCATGCATACATATATATGAAATGCACTTACGTTTGATGGAACACCCCAGGGTAAAAAAGTCTCATAGCAGTGGGTAGGTAGGTAAACAGCTAGTTTAGACTCTAGACTCTAGACGCCATCTAGTTTCTCAAAATCAAAAACCCTAAACACGAATGGAATCATGTCATCATGTCATCACTCAGATATTGATGAGATTCTAGTACGTACGTACGTATACATTATTTTCTTAACTATACCTCGTGACGATAGTGACTATAGTGACAACCTACCTTTTTAAGAAACAACCCTAAATCAATCAATCAATCAATCTTGATCCGCAGGCTTAGAGAGAGGTATTGTATCGCATCGTATCGTATCGTACTATATAATTTGTATTATATCCTCATTAATATGAACACAAATGATACTTCACAAAACAGAACAGAATAGAATAGAATAGAATAGGATAATATAATACATAAAAGACTAGGTATTAATAAGATATAATCGTAGGGTAGGGTAGGGTATGGCAGCTCTTAGCTCTTGGGGAATTGGGGAGTTGGGGGGTTGGGGTGAGTTTAAGCATACTTACAAGTTACTAAGGTACTACTCGTCCATTACAAATACGAATGAATGAATACTCGAGTACACAATATACGCAATGAGAGAACGTGGAATGAGAATGAGAATGTCATGGTGAACATAGCTTGAGGTGTTAAAAGATTGAGTTCGCATCAGGCAATATGAATGGATTGTCACTCCAGTCAGGTATGAGATTAGAGCTTCAGGAATCATGTCCAGCACCAGCACCAGACCATCAAGAAGATAACCCACATCGTATTTGCATTCTTTTCCCTGCCTGTGTCATAAATACGCACGCTACAAAAATCATGAAGCCAGCTTTTCCCACCTCGAATCATCAACATGCTCCATCTTCCCTCCTTCCCTCTCTCAACTCTCTCCCTAATCCGTTTGGTTACGGCACCACCATGTGGATCAACCACCCCCCATTCATTCATTGTCTGTTATTGATTCAGTTGTGCCATCTGCCAAAGCGTCCAACACCAACTAGAAACCAATTTATTTCTCCTTTCGGGTACCGGCCGAAGCTTCACCCGCTTGAGCCTTGTCCAAAATATCATCCGAAAATTGCTTGTTTCTAGCCGATTGAGCCTTGAGGGTCTCAATATCTCTATCCTTCTGCGCCAACAAGTTCTTGAGCTTGCCAATCTCCCCGGCACTCCCGGCACGGTCCAACTTATCCGAGTCCTTTCCACCCGTCTTGCCGGTGCCCTCGTAGCGGTTGACCTTTTCTTCCAAGCGGAGAACTTCGAGGATCATCGTGTAGGTGCGGTTGAGGATTAGGGAGAGGAATAGGGTGAAGCCGCAGAGGTACATGTTACGTTGGGAATAGAATTTGCGGGCTTGTACTTCCATGCGTTCGTGGCCGAGCACTGGGTTACTGGAAATAATTAGATACGGTAAAGGAGAAGATGGGGAGCAGAACATACCCAGCTTGATTCTTATTGGCCTCTGCCAATTCAACTTGAACCCGATAAACTCTGTTTACACTATCGATAAACAGGATCAGGATAAAGATAAATGTAATCTTCATCCCGTATTGTAATTTTGCTACCAGTCGACTTTCGCTTCTAGTGGGGTATTAGTAGCTGCATGCAGGAAGAAGGAAATAATGGGGAATCACGAACATGAAATTAAACATCTTTCGGCGGATGGTGAAAGGAAGAGGAACGATGAGAAGCATGAAAAGTGCCATCTCTGCTACAAGGAGCACGAAGACCTGTACGGATCATCGTTAGCATATTATTTGTTGAGCTCGCGGATGCTGAGATTTGGGGATGATGAACTGAGGCAGGGTGAGGTAGGTAGGTATATTGCCAGATGGCAGAGAGTGTGTACATACAAGACTGTAATAAAGTGTCATCTTTGCGGTATTGGTTCCTCCAAGTTATGTGTTTGGTTGTTGATTTCGCGGCCTTTTTCCAAAAGTAAATATCAGTAAATGTTTGCAGCAAGGCTCTCAAATCGTGTACTCATAAGGCTTTAAGCTCTTATGCCTTTACCTTACTATCCCTATCAAGAGCACTGGATCGTGAAATGTACTTACGATAATAGGAAATTCTTTGTTGTATTGAGTAAGTTGTATGGTTGATGAAAAAGGAAGTGTTGATGAAAAGTCAACAAATTATTTTGGTACAATAAGTGGTTGATGTATCCTGTAGCTTAGAGCTTCAACGTCATCAGATAATTTTGTGGTGAGAAGTACTGAACGAATTCAAAATCACTCTTCGCTTCCAAGGAAAATTCGCGCTAAACTTGGAACAACTTAAGTCACAATATACACGTGACTCGTATAACTCCCGTTTTAAGTTCATGTCATCAATGTACCGATTGGTTTGGAATTTTGTTAAAGAATGCAATTTGATCAGTTATTCAGATATAATGAGCTTGTTAGTACCACTATTGAAGGAAATCCGATGGCTCTCAGTGAAGTAATTGATCTTCTATCGTTCTTCAGAAGGAAGAATCGTTTCTTTGATCCCTGCCTGGATAAGCTTCCAAAAAGCCACGCACAGCCATCAAATATTGTTTAGTGTCATTGTCTCTATTATTGTATACCGGTACACCAGTCTGCTCTCCTTCAGCACGTACCCTACTGGGATTTCGCGATTAAGTTCCGAAAGCCATCTCATGGTACAGGGGGAAAGTCCGAAATCATCTAAATCATCTTGTCATTCCGTCAATAGCATCTGTGCCATCACCTTTCTTTGCAAGAGCCGAGAACTCATCATCGTTCGGGCCATGCATTGGTGTGAAATTGGGACGAGCTTATCTATTGGTTGTTTGACTTCGAAATCGTTCATTTTCGAGACTTAATTTGTGTATAGTAATTAGTTTGCGGATAGAAAATTAAACTGAAGAAATGGATTACGGAGGCATAAGAATCAGTACTCATGGAATATAGAGATTGGTCAACTCTAAAGTCGTTCATTTTCGAAACCTGTTTTGTACATTGTACGAATAGATTGCGGATCGAAAATCATAAAGAGGAAATGGAAAGATGGAATGATGGAGGATTTTATAGTATGAGAATCGGTATGTAGTAGTAGTAGTAGTAGTAGTAGTAGTAGTAGTAATAGTAGTTGAAATTTATAATCAATCTGATATATTTATATCCAACGTTATAATTAGAGATCATAGAATGACTTTATAATTATATATATAATAAAAGAATTCCATAGAAAAAATATAAAACCTACTATCCCTTCACTGGCGGAAATTACCTAAGATGTCTATAGTTCTACTCTTATAATACGAGTATAGTATCTAATCAATCTATCGAGTAAATTAGTATACTTTCCGTCTACCCATAGTAATAATAAAAAGATCTCTATTTCTCTCTGTTTATTTCCTCTATATCCCCCACTGGCATAGTATACATTTGTATGTTATTATACTCCTTCTACTGTTTCTCATTATGCATTTCCATCGTTTACTCTCCCCCTTGTCAATTCACCTAATTGATATCCGCTTAAACGCCAAATTCCAACATCGCTTAATTCCCGACTCCTAAGCGACGTTATAGATACAGTAGCTAAAACCTACTATCTACTACCCAACAACGATTATAGTGAATAATTTCCTATTCTAAAACCAGCTCAAAAATGAATAAGCGAGCTCAAAATCCCGAGTTCCATATAGGGATTCTATACAAATTCATATACCTTTTTATCAAAAATAAGAAATCACCCTGCCAGTGTTTATGAATTTAATTACTAATTTGGGATAATCAAATGATTCAGACTGCTTGAATTAGTGCACTGGTTGAACTAATTAACGATTTATAACACTAGTCTCAGCTCAGAGGGAACTCCTATACAAAATAGAAAATAAGTACCTGCTGGGTTTATCTATCTAATACCGAGTAGATAAATAAAGGAGAGTTTTCTGAGACGCCAAAAACTGTAAGGAGGACCGCAATGACCTCGACACAGTCATCTCAGCCATATCTACCAGCTTCTGTTCTGGTACCCCGGTATCTCCTAGTCCCAAAGAACAACTAAAGTTCTACAGGCGACAGAAACCGTATACGCTATACCTATACCCAGAAATCGACCTCAATCTAGTTCACAAACCGAATTTAACAATAGAAAAACCTGAAAAATCTACGAGTCATCAGCTATCATATCAATCGCATTAAATTCAATAAACCATCGTGTTCTAAAGATACGAACGAGTATAACCTTGATACCATTGTATTTCCTAGCCAAGATATCGATAAATATCACTCGAGGCACTCCACGCACTCCTCGCACTCCATAACATACCCACCATTCCCTCATCCCAAATCCTCGCAATATCAATAAATGTCCCTGTCCCTTCACACCTCCAACCATCTTCAGATTCGATTATCTCGAATAAATAAACACTCATCATCATCATCTTCATCATCACTATCATCCAACTTAACGATCTCCGTCTCACCAGCATCATCATCATCATCATCCAACTTAATGATCTCCAGCTCACCAGCATCACCAACCACCGTCGAAGATTTCTCCTCTTCAACTTCATCTTCAACTTCATCCTCGCCATCGTCCCCCGTCAAATCAATCATAACAGCCTTTCCCTTACCCTTCTCAGCTCTCCGTCGCTTTACCACTCTCTCGCTACTCTCAACTTCACCACCATCATCAACATCTTCCCTCTTAACTCTCTTCCTCCCACTCGATTCACCCGCCGATTCACCCGATGCATTCCTAAACGATCTCAATAATTCCTCAACTTGCTTTGCCTGATCAGCTGTTAAACCACTACCACCATGTCCAACAATCTCCGGTGAGCTAGAACGAGATGGAGTAGGCGTGTGTGCAATTATATGCAAAGATTTCAGCGCAGCTGCATAAATATATTTATGTTAGCGACAAATGCCCTACATACCAGTAGCTTGCACACGAGTCACGACCAACCTTCAGAGCGATATAGAAAGCGGAAGATGATGATTGGTTGATCACCATGTATATTAGCGTCTGTCCAAACATCTCCTCGGGTGACTTTTCGTCCCACGTCCAACCTAATCCGGGTATGCATTCGTCAGTATCTTCAAATAGTGGCGGTGGGCATGGGTTTAATTAGTACTCACGCAGTACCATGACTTTTTGCCTCAGGTCCCTTCAATGCCTTCTCGGGGACTTCTTTACTATTGTCGTTCATGAATCCTTTCTTGCTATTATTGACATCTCCACTCTTTTTTCCATACGTCGTTCTGAAGACTTTGATCTCAATCTCGCCAAACTTACTCATGGACTCCTTGAGACGTCGGGCTTCTGCAGAGGAGAGACTTTCCTCATCTATAGTTTCTAATTAGTCTTTCATATCCTTGTCATATCCTGCCAACTATCAAATTTGGTTCCTGTCCCTTGAGTCTAGCGGATGTACTTTACCCGTAGAACTTCGACTTCAAACCAAAGTCAAAGGAACCCATTTAAAAAAACAAATTCGCCAAATTCTTACTAGTCTTAATTCCCTTAAACTTAAAGTCGCTAATCTTGCAACCTTGACCCTTTCCCTGCTTCATGCCACGAATTATTTCCTCCCACAAATTGCCCATTTCCACGTACCGAGGCCGATGGCACCAAACATTCCACACAAACTTGCCATCGATCGAGAGTTGAAACTGCAGTTTCGAGCAGTCCATTTCCTTGGGATACGGTCTATCGACTCGAAGATGGATCGCATATGGCGTCTCGTTGGTAGCGGCAACATACGTCGTGATGGTTTGAACACGAAGGTATTCTGCTATTGGGTCGTTAGGGATCGGGTCGTTGTCGGGAGATGCATAGGTTGGGAATGCTTCGTTATCTTGGGAGATGATTTGCGCCGTGATGCCTGGGGCTGATGGGTGGTGGACTCCCTCCGGAAGGTTAGGGTTGAGGGCATGGTTGCGTCTAGGCATGATGAATGAGGTAGGGATTGGGTAACAATGATGTAAAGTTGATGATATTAATGGGATAATGTATGTTAAAAGTGAAAAATTTGAAAATGATATGTTTTAGAATGATGTGTTTTAGAATGATATATTCAAAAATGATATATCTGAGAAATGATATATCCGCCGCCAAGATGAAGATATCTTTAAAACGGATATTTCCTCGGTCGGAGGTAATGATGAATCCGAAAAGCTTCAGCAGTGCAGAAACGCGACTAATTCTCATCGACAAAGCTGAAAGCTCATAAAATTGAAGCTAGGGATATTAGATCTCAAAGTTAGAACGTGGAGTACTTTCCCACAGGCCAAAATCCAGCGACGACAACTAGAACGAGGATAAGATGGATTTGTAATAATGCGTGCAAGTTGGAGTTGTAGAGAAGACAGTATGTTCTTGTCAAGTGTTGAAAGAGTTTAATTAGAAGGATCAGAGTAAAAATATTAAATATGTCAGTTTTAGCCTTCAAGACGGGGAGGGATAACGTTGGGACTGAGCTGCTATACACGTTGGGAAGGTTCACTCGAACTTTCACGTGGAACTTCCCCGTTGCCATGAGTGAATTATCGGCGTTTTGCTCTCGTCCCAATGAGGATGCTGCGTAGCATATGAGGTCTTATTGTAAGAAGGTAGGATGATGTCTTGGTCTGATCAGCGGAAAATCTCAAATCATAGCATACACTCATAGAGTCTTAGACATCTGTTAGGAAAATGAAACGGTTTTGAATTCGAGAAATACTTTGATGTGCTCTTTGATATTAAATACTTGCAGAAGTCTCCGCTCGTTATGAATATACCCAGCCCCCGTTTATTTCTCGAATACACACCTCAGAAGTTAAAGATGTGCTAACTGATGTTCTGCTTGGACTTCCACCAAAATGTTAATAAACGCCCATGATTCCTTGAGAAGATAGCGGCGCTGAATAGATTGAAATAGTTGAAATCTATGAGAGCCAAAGAACTTTTAAGATCCCCTTCTACGACGCCCCAATGTAAGTAGCGAAGATTGAGATCTGGTGCTCAAGGATCCCAGGGAAATATTGGAGACATCAATCCGAATCAAGATCGATGACAATCTCATCGTCAGAATCGTTCTCAGTAAGATCGATGATGTGTTTTCCGATTTGCTTCCGACGTTTCTTGCGACCCCCAGTCTCATTTTCTTCCCTCTCACGCTTGACTGGGGGATCTGGGGTGGCTACACTGGCATTGATACTGGCTCGTGTAAATTTGGGTGGAGCTGGAATCACCGTGGCGATGGTGCCTTGCAAAGATGATGCAGGTGTCTGTGCAGACTGTATCCCTCCCTGGGTTTGCAAATATTGCAGGAATTGCCCAAACAGTTGGCCAGTCTGTGTCGGATCCAAAGAATGAAAGTTCATATTTGGGGGATTCATTGGTAGTGCGACGTTAGGAGAGGCAGTTGGTACTGTAGCAATCGCCGAGATAGGATCTTGACTGGCTTCGGGCTCAGACTTGAGCTTCGGCTCCAGCATACTTTCTGGTTCAAACTTTAACTCAAGTTCCGGCTCAGGAGTCCTCTCGATCACCCCAAGAGCCTGGAGATCCTCTGTTTGTCAAATGATCAGTATGACTCGGATTAGAATCACAAGAATCCAGAAAGACTAACTCTTGGAGCCGTATCTAAACTTGAATATCGCAATTGGGTAATCCTCGCCATCACCACAAAACTCAAACCTCTCCCAATCAGTAATATCAATGGGCTCTGATTTACCGTATCTACCCATTATTCAGTGAAAGCGCTTCTAAGAGTGACCAGTATGCAAGTTGAAAAGTCTTACGATGTACCATGCGATACTGCTTTTCCCTTCAGAGCTTCTTCAATAACAGTCACTTCGGAATTTAAAGCCGTTAGTTCTCCAACTTCTCTTCGCTCGTCCTCCATCAGAAACATTTCGCGATACACCCAGACTTCAATTTCGCCGATTGATAATGCCTTCGTCGTGGCATTGGTAGGAACAGTCTTATCGTTGTCATGGGCTTGATGGTTTAGCCTAGCAGTAAAAAATGCGATTGTGCAAACTTACTGCTGCGTATCTCAACAAACTTGAACGTTCGTAATGTGTCCCCTTCTGTAGAATCCAAGTATGCACCCTCAATGAATAAAGTGCTTGCAAATCCGGATTTAAAGAAATCGTCGATATCTACGAAGTCATAAGAGGGCAAGCGGATGCCATCGACAATTTGATGAAAACCTATCTCTGTACAATCACCCGTATATCTATACGAATCTTCCACGGAGCACTGGATACCAAAGAAACTACCTGCAGTAGATTCAATATAATTCTTGACAGTCACAGAGCGCTGATGCTTTGTGACATCCTCATCAACTCCTTCATCAATCCCAATCTCAATGTCATCTTCATTATTTTCGTATTCTAGTAATGGCTCGCCATCAACGCAGATCGTAACCTCGATTCCAGGTAGAGAGTCGAGAATAGCCATGGTTTCGAAATGTTCAATGGCCTCCAGATGTTCTTTTGGTTGCCAAGGTTGAAGTTAAATATGTGTAGGTCGGAAGGAAGTTCCCAAAAGGTGACGACCTTGAATATCTGGGTCAAAGTGGAGTAATCAAACTACTCAAGTGAGGTTGCCCGTTTTGCTATCGATTGGGCTAGTTTTACTTCAAAGCAAGCAATGTCGACAAGCGAATTTTTGAAAGTGAAAGAATGATAGCAGATAGTATCTCTCGACTGATCCAGCATGTTCGACCAGCTTCACCCGGCGGCAGTTCAATTATCCATACATACAGCCCAGCACAAGCAAAACTGGTTTCACATTTGTGAAAGGATGAAAACAAAGTGAAACTTGCGAAGCGACGAGCATGTGCGGCTATTATTGTTCTAGATAAGCAATCCATATTCAAATGTTCTATGGGAAGAAACAACGTCATGTAAATTTTGTGAGATACCGCAGTGAATGAATTGCTCAAGTCAATTAGCATACCCACAAGATCTCATCCTAAATCTTCATACTAATTGCTCAAATTTCCGGCTTCACAATAAACGACATTGCCGAGGAACATCAAAGAGAATGATACTCGCATAAATCTCTCCACCTGTCTTACACGTTAGACTCACTCAATTCCGTAATTGATTTGCTAACGCTCTGAATTCTGCTTTCATGGATGAACAATAATGACTAGAAGTCAAGTCAAGAAAAGGCAACATATGAATAAACCTCTCCGATCAGTACACGGAACCCAATATCTTTCACAATCTAAAATGTCGATTAGAATAAATGTCCCCAGGACCGAACTGTGACAGGTAAGGATGGAGGAAAGTTGAATGAATGTCTTGATTCTTTCAAGGTGAAATGGCCCTCGAGTTCAACATTGTGATTGTTCTCAATTTTGGGCTGAGAGGAGACAGACCGAAAGTGGCAATTAGGAAGGATGATACCAGTATGACTAATCCAATCTATCAAAGAACTTTTTCTCTTCTTTAAGTTCCCAAACTGTAGCTTCTTGGTTCGTTCTGTGTTTAGAAGTAAGCGAATTAAAGGGACAATTCTGTTGTTTCCGGGGGCCATGCATTGGATGTGTGCTACGTCCTCGATATCTTACCCTCTGCATTCATCGGACGCATTGCTTGATGTGTCCACGAAGCAAATTTTTCCACCCGACTGAACCGCAGATGATTGTCTTGTCCGAGAGTGCCAGTTCAATATTTTTGTGCAGAGGTAGAATACGAGATACCTTTGGTGCAACTCCATGTCGAGAACTCCAATGCCACTTGTGTGGAAGAACGAGAGCGTATGCCTGAAGTCAGTGGCCATCACACACGAGAGCCCAGGTCTCAGGATTAGTCGATGAGAAAGGTAATCCACGACCGAAAGACATCTTATCTATGAACATTCGAGACACCAACCACTCGAACAGTACGGGTCTTCGCAGATGGACATGCTCTGCCAGAAACTACTCACATAATGACTTCGTTCAAAGTGCCTGATAAAGTTTTGAAATAGTCTAGATGCAAAAGCCTTCGACATTTGAGAAGTCGCTAATAATCTGAAATAGCCTAACATATCAGATAGATTAGACTCTTCGATTGGAAAAATCTTTCAAAACGGATTCAATGTCCTAGGATATTCCAAGACAATGGTTAGCAGAAGAATCTCTCCTGTTGGGTTGCATTCCAGACTTTTAGAAATCTGAATTCGTCCCTTGCTAAACACCGGAGTAGCCATAACTCAGCCTGTAGATGACGCGGCCGATCTCAATTCGTTTTCTAAATATTATTAGACTCCTCAATAAAAACATAACTCTCAATAAACACAACACATCCCTCATCCCTCTTTGACATCAAAATTCCCGAGGGACAACCTCATGTACCTGAGCTAGGCGCACTCAATACTGTCTTACATCCTCTTTGAATGCAGTCATCGTTTGATAAAGCTTCATGCCTGAACTGGGGCACCGACTGTCTTACTCTTCAAAGACAGTCGTTTTTTGACAAAGTTCCATGCCTGAGCTAGAGACACCAACACTGACATACAACCAGGAACGTTTTAGAGCACCATATCTTGCTTAACTCTTGAATACATCGCAAACCCAGAACCAATCCACAAACCTATCAATATGACTTCAAGTGTGCTCAGCAAAAGCATGCTGTAAAAGTACCTCATCGTTATCAGCAACGGAATCGCAGCTCCTCTCAGGACAGTGACTGTTCAAATAATCAGCAAAAGCATTCAAATTATACCAGAGCACCCTACTGCCCCTGTTACATTTGAAATTCTCGAGTGTGTTGCAGCCAAGTACCGCTTCAATTCATCCTTACCTTCTCCAAGAAAATGGCAAAGCCCAGAAGTGATCGGCTGAAAACAGTGCAATACCCAATACTTTACCATTTCATCGTTCCTAGGGAAGGTCATTGGACATCTAGTCCCTGTCGTACCCTCGCCCTTCTTACATTGAATATCTTCTGAGACCTTTGGAACGTAATTCAGTGCGAATTCCTTCTTTGGATGCTTAACTTTCCAATGCTCTCTGTGCTCCACCACACGGCAAGACTAAAAAGCGCAAGTTCTGTTGCTACAATGTCTCGACATATGAGCATCCCTCTCTGCTTCAGAGCCAAACATCATTGATGACTTGTTCTCGGTTTGACATCTGGATTTATTATACCTCATGTCAAGTTTTCCCCTAGCTTTTGGAGGTTTTGCTTTTCTCTTGCGAGCTTCCGGATTTTCAATTTTCGTGGGAAATGTTTTGGTCCCTTTAGAATATCTCACCTCTCTTCTATTTTTCGATGACAACGCTTTTGAAACACTCAAACTTGCACCCTCTCTTACATCCGCGCTTTGGTCAATAGTCGATAGTGCCTGTGGCGATACCTCCATGGCCGCAAACTTGGAGAAATTAGCTCTCCCGCCCAAAGCTCCTTTGTTTAGTCCCAGCCATTGCCTGCATATGATCCTCATAATTAGCCTATTCATATCAGAATATTTCACCTAGATGACATACCTCCATTCTATGTTTGCTTTGAGGACATGGCATGTCGGTTCATGATTCCTACATATGCTACCCGTCACTATCCCTGCAAAATATTGTGATCAATTTGTAATATAATCCAATGTAGCAACGACAAGGTAAGCAGGATTCGTGCAACTTGAATCGCCATGGTTGCATAAATGGTAAATTATCAGGCCGTATACTATCAGCGCTTCCCACTCCTCTTTGGTCTCAGTGGCGAGATGTACTTTCCAGTAATCTTCGGGAAATAATATGGCCCGCAGACACGAATGAGATGAGCCGTAGCCTTGTGACTGTAGTGCAATGAATTAGCACATCTGGTTGTTTCAGGAGATATGCCAGAATCATAACCAACAAGTCATCTAGGCCTGAACATCGTATTGTCGTTGCGCAGGGACAAGACACGCATACACTCGTTCCCATGGACAGATTCGGACCCGACACTTCCAGTAGCATGAATGGCATTCTCTTCGACTAGGGTTCTGGGTTGAGCAGTGATGAATCAGGAGTCAGCAAAATACCCCGAACGACCAACCACATGGACCAGATACGCCTCTTCCTTTCTCTCTGCAGCCTCACTCCGAAGAAATCTATCATCATTTATTATTCGTGGCGGAAACTATACCAATCTCCAAGGAATAATCTAGATCAGGGTCAATACGATGGTCCAGGCTGGTATGTAGAGAAAACAATGTAGGGAAATTGTAGGGAAAGCAATGTACTCGTGAGTAGGGAAGCGATGTATGGAAATTGTAGGTAAAGTGATGTGGAAAAAAACGATGGTAGGTAACGCGAGAAGTAAAAGAAACATTTCACCATCCTTCCACCGATAATCTGGTTATCTGGAAAGATGTATCACTGAGCATGAATGAACTTATACGAATTCATTACTGTTGACGATTGAGAACGGGTCATTCCAAATAAAGATACCAAATATATTGCTGTGTATGGCTCTTCGATGTTCAAACGGAAGTTGGAAATTGGAAGTTGAGAACCTCCAAGTGGCAGCTAAATTGACATGGGAATACTGATTGAGATAGAAAATATGGAAATGATGAGAACAATATAGTATGGAACTGAATGATCGTAGGTGATCATACCTAGGTACCTACGCTGGCTATCTGTTAAAACATTTGAAGTCATCAAGACATCAGCTTATCAAAAGATAAATTTTGATGACGTCACAAATGAACTCTCCAACTACACCCATCCATCCATACTCTCAGACCACCCACACTACCTCACTAATCCCAATTAGGATCAGTTTGTGCCATATGCACTAGCTGGCAACTAACCATCTCGCACGGACCACCTCTATATTCCTACATAAAGAGGTCTTCCCACCCTCCATTCCATTTCTTTTTCCTTTTCTCTTCATACTTACCTTGTTGAAACATTCGCAGATCAAGCATTGCGATGTTGCGATACGAGTCCTCCATTGCACATCGGGGCGACGAGAATCGTCCAGTTTCCTTCGGGGACCTGGTCGGCGGAATTTTTGATTGCTTCCTTAGGGATTTTTTTTCATTAAGTTTTACTTGGCTTTTTAGCTGGGGCTTGAAGAAGAAGTTTGTGAATGTGAATCATGTCTGTATTTTGGATGTATGGAATTATACCTGCATTTAGATTCTTCATTCGACGCGATCAAAGTTGTGCAGACATCTCGTAGCATACTTCAGTAGTTATATAATAGTTTGTAACTGCAAGAAGAAATGTATTATAGTGTACCTAGTATCATTTTTAAATATATACCTAGTATTTGTATTTGTATTTATGTATGATCCGGGACAGAGGAAGTATTGACATTGGACCTTCTCTCCTCTGCACATCTTCTATTCGTGTAATCAGATAATTTTCTTTACCTATAATATGTTAAGTACTGAGTATTCGTATAATTATTGATACTATACTCGAGTAGATATGATATCACAATGTAGTCTCATACCTGAGGTCTTTACTTCTTGCTCCTCACTCCTCACTCCTCGCTCATTCCTCATTTCGTACTGTAGTCGAAATACCTACCTACCTACCTACAACAACCAATACCAAGCACCTAGCAAGCTATCCTCCCGCATATACTCAGTACATACTACTGTACTAGATTCTACCCCCCAGATCATTCATCACCCATCACCCATATAAATATTTTCTATTCCAACAGATCGAGTATTAAGTATTACGCAATACCGGTATTTCAGCGAGGGTAGGTATGTATAAAATATGAAATAGCTGAATGGGTGTTATGTTATATGGGATGTACAGATACAGGTACAGGTTCGAGTACAGATACTCAATAGCCGGTATTGACCACTACTCCTGTTGTATTTCATTATAGATAGATACATTTCTTCATTCTCTATTCTCTATTCTCTATTCCCTAGTCATCTATCCCAATACAAAACTCCTTCTATACTACTGCACACTCTTATATTCACATATTATCTAGTCTCATAATTATATCTCATCTCATCTCATCTCATACTTCTCCATCCTATCTCAAGTCATACAGTATCTATACCTATACCTATATCACACAACCATACTACCGGTATCCAAGCAGATCATCAAGATCTCCAAAGAATTTATTGATATCAACACTTCTTATAGCCAATCATTTTAATATTCCTTCCCATTTTCCTTCTATTCCCTAATATATTACTGCTATGCTATTCCTTTTCTATTAAATCACAAATTGTACTATTTTCTATTTCGATACATACCACTTCTATTTCAATTTCCCTTCTCCGTTCTCCCTTCTGCTTCCGAGTCCAAGATCCCTTTGCCCTCTTTTCCCTTTTTATCTTTTCCTATCAAACATTACAAATACAAAAATACACTACTTTTCCCCCCCTTTCCTATCCTTTCCTATCCCTTCCTATCCCTCCTCCTTTCCCTCCTCCTTTTCCCTCCCCAATCCAACATCCAACATCCAAAATAAACCAAATCCCCTCCTCAACCTCTCAACCTCTCAATTCTCAACAATATTCCCCTCCTCCCCATCCTATCCCATCCCATCCCATTATATAAAAACACCTTTCCACCTTTCCACCTTTCCACCTTTCCATCTTCCTTTTTTCCTCGTCTTCCCATCCCCCCCTATACACAAATTCTAGTCTTTCAAACTTCACATATACTCTCTCTTCCTTACTAATGAAAATATTGAAACCCCTCGGTTCAAATTATTTATGTCACTCACTCAAATCACTCACTCACTTACTATATTCTCCATCTCCATCTCCATCTCTATATCCATATACATCTCTCCCCAAAATTATACATATATATATTCTCTCTATTCCCCCCCTTCCCCTCCCAAGAATAATGTTTAAGAGCCCAAGGTCTAGTATTTTATTTATATTTCATTTTATTTTAATTTTTTCCATTTAATTTAATTTAATTTTAATTTCATAAGCTCTTATTTTCTCAACACACAAACACACAAACGCATATACAAGTAAATACTCGAGTACAAAAATAAATAAATATAAATCCATATACAAACATCCCAACTAATTCCATCCCATCCATCCATCCATCCATCCAATCCATACACATACAAACCTAGCGCCAAACCTAGCGCCAACCTTAAACAAACTCCCCCATCTACTCGAGTATATAGAAACACATCTGCACCCATTTTTTCCTCCATCCATCCATCCATCCATCCCAACCCCAACCCACACAGCCAAATTCCAAAATTTATATTCCACATCCACATCAGCAGCCATAATAAAACTCCCATCATAAAAATACTCGAATATGTACTCGTACCAAATACAATACAATACATGTATAATCCCTTATACCCCATCCCTCACATCACATCCCATCCCATCCTGAATTCCCTCAAAGTTTGCTCGTTTCGTTGCTTCATCGTAAAACTGCTGTATGTGATATGTGATATGGCATATACATATACATATACATATACACTGGATTCCCGAAGATAGTACATACTCTATCTATACTCCATATTTCATTTTCCAACTTCCACATTCCACATATTCCTAAATAATCGCCACCCCATCCCATCGCAACTCATTCGGCAACCCATCATAAGAGATTCATGCCTATATATTATATTATATTGTATCCTATCGTATCGTATTATAGTATATCGAAATCCGCATCATACCATATTGTTATACTCGAGTATTTCGAAATAAATACTCGTAACCGTAATAATAATAACAAACTCGTATATCCCATCATCCCATCTCATCCCATCCCATCCCGGCTCGTAATTATGTATAGGACATAACATACCTAGCTAGATAGGTATATCACAGGAATAACTCAACGCCTAGCCATGAATATTGATACCAACCACTTCGCATCTCCTCTCCTCTCCACGTCTTTCACCAGGGAAGAAAAAAAACTAATTTGTTCGGGATCTTGGTCCGGGTTCGGGAATCGCTGGGCGTGACTTGATATGCTAAACAAAGCCAAGAGCCAAGCATCTCTCATACCAGAACTCCAGTCCTCCAATCAAAAACCCTCACCCTCACCCTCACCCTCACACCTTCCCTCCCCCCTTTCCAGTGCCTTCCCCCTCCCTACCCCCTCCCTACCAATCCCTCACCACCCTCCAAGCATCCCCCGGTCCCAACCCCTGCGCCCTCAAATCACAATCCCTATGTCCCCACTTCTCCGCAAACACTTTCCTCCCATGCTCAATCTGCATTTGAATACCCAACTCAAAGCCCTCAGAATCCCTATAATACGGATCATTTACTCCACCCACCTGTCTCCCCTGCCACGTATTCCTCCCATTCTTATTCGCGCCCTTGGACCAGCCCATGCGATCTAGTACTTCTAGAAGTTTCTTCCATGATTCTTGCGCTATGGGTTCGTCGTGCCATTGTTTGTGTTTTTTGTCTGAGAAGAGAGTGCCGAGGTTGAGATTGATGTCGCGGGGTTGGAGGTTGGAGGTATTGTCTGGTTCTGTGGGGCTCGAATCTGATGTTGTGGTGTTTATTTGTGCAAGTTCTTCTTCAATAGCATTAGGATCTACAAAGGAAGGTACCGGGCCCCCCTTCTTCCGATATAAAACCTCCAGATCATCCAAACTACTCGCGACATCCCAAATGGCTCCCGCAGGCCAATCTCTCATCTCAAATCCTTCCATGGCAAGTCGTTCGTGCATATCGCAATCGGTGCCGTAGAAAGGAATCATGGTATCCCAACCGCCGACTTTCTGATACGAGTCGGTATTGACGAGCGCGAGACGGTCGTAGGAGAAGAATTCGAGGGCCCAGGGGGTGACGAGACCAGTTTCGGGGTTGGGGGTTGTGACGTTGCGGAGGGCGGTGATGCAGTGGTCGTAGAGGGAGGGGAAATTGAGGGGTGAGGGGTGGAGTTCGTCGGGGTGGCTTGCTATCCATTGGTCTTCGAAGGACAGGATGGCGAGATCCATGTGACTCCAGAAATAGGTTGGCCATTGATTTTCAATGGCAGTCCATAGGAAGTAATTTTGGATTTGCGCAAAGGTGAATAGGGTAGGTGTGATGAGGATATTTACCCCAAGCATATTTAGACGGGTGTGATTGAGGAAGAAGGGGTTCTGAAGAGATAATTGTCCATCTTTATTGGAATGCATCACACCTGTATTCTCCACGACATATATATCCTCAGGAGGCCATCCTGCAGTAATATAAGAAACAACCACTTGTTGAAGAAGACGCCAATTTCTCGTAAATCCAATAAGAAGGGGAGTTTTCTCAGGAACATGTGGATTGGGAGGTTGATTCCATTTTGGAATTGGTGGAAGCTCTGAAGCTGAATGTGCGTTTAAAGCAAGAGGAAAGTTATCAATTATAGGATAACTTTTCGGAGGTTTAGAAGTTTTGTATATTGGATGCTTGGGTCCAGTCTCGGTTGGAAGAGGAGGTTCAGGTGGATGAAGAGATGTGAGTGGTCTTAAATTATTGTGTAAATAAAAACCAGTGAGGAGTATAGTCAAAGTTACAAAAACACTAAGTAGCATATAGCGCTGGCGCAAAGTGACTGACATGATTGTCTGAAACCTGCTTGTGGAAGAATGGAAATGCGAGATGAGGAATGTAAAGGAATAGAAGCATGCCAATAACGGTATTGAATTGCGAACAAACAACTAGTATGGAGGATTAAAGAAGACAGAATAGAATAGTAAAAAGGCAAAAAGATTCCAAAACTAATAATAGGGAGATCTGTAATTGAAATAAGAAAAGAGATAAAAGATGGTTTAGGTACCTAGGTACTTTACATTACCTAGTACTTTACCATGATTGCAAAGAACAAACAAAGCCTTACGAATCCCATAATCCCATACCGGTAATCCCAATCCCAATCCCATAACCCCATTATCCCATTATCCCACTAAGGAAGAGAGCGAACCCATCTAAAATTCACCACCATTTTCCATTCTCCATTTTCCATTCTCCATTCTCCATTCCCTGATGTCACCGATCGATCAATTTGAATGCACCATACCATAACCCTGCCTACTACCGGTACCTATATGCCAAGAAAACATCAACGCACTACCAACCAAGAAAATAGTAGGAAAGCCCTTCTAGATCTTTCTGTTGGCGCTCAATTTGTTAACGTTCATTTATTGGCGCTCCTCATTTGTTGTTGCAGAATGAATCTGAAAGATGGGAATAAATCAGGAATCAGGAATAAAATCTCTCGCCTGTTAAAGGTTATACACCTAGATTAGATCAGATCAGATCAGATCACTTTGCGGCACGTGTGTGTGTTTATTTACCCCATTTACTACCTATTGATATAAATCACATATTCCTGGCGGTAAACTAAACCAACATCATCCGAGTAGGTAAGATGGAAAATAGATATGGTATTGATATAGATATTGATACTGATACTCACTCAGCCTTATTATCACTCTATTAATATAATACTCTATCACTAGATATTTATCCTATCCCTTCACCCAAAAGTACCTAGTAGCTAGGTATCAATATCTTATTCATCTGCATAGATAGATACTAATTATAGGTACTATACAATTAATCAACCAACACAATTAATTACCTATATTATACCTTCTTCCCCCAAAAAGCCAGAGCACAGAAAACAGGATACAGTCTGTACATGATACAGAATAGAAATACTTGTCCTACCTACCTACCTACCTACCTACCCAGTGTCTATCTATACGTACTCAGTATCCCCCATCCCATCCCATCCCATCCCATCTTACAACAGGTCTCAAGCTTCGTTTATTTATTTGTATTGTTATACGTGTACACTACTGTACTTACTCGGTATGTATCGATCCACTGTATATATACCTATATATTATTTTATCTTAAACATTGCTAAGCTACCTAGTACTGTACCTATCTATCTACCTACCTACCTATCAATCTCATACCAAGTAATGTAAATAGTCGATTTCTCCCCCTTTCCCTTTCCCTTTCCCCCTCCTCCCCCTCCTCATCCTCATCCTCACCCCCAAAACATTCATCATTATAAACACAAACACAAACAAATATCAAACTACTCCTCAAATAAAATAAAATCAAGTAAAATCAAATAAATAACTTAAATAAATACGAAAAAACGATTGCTATACTAGGGTATCCTGCCTGATGAATGAGATATTCAAAATCAAATTCAAAACCACCATATCACCATATCACCATATCCATCCACCCACCCATCCATCCATCCATTGCGAGCCTTTACACAAAGGAAAAAATGATTATTCATCTCATCCAACCTCGACTCGTCTCTTCTCTCTTCTCTTCTCTTCTCTTCTCGTCTTTCATCATCTTCAACTCATTAATCGTAAAGTGCATACTGCATCATATTCGTGTATCGCGTTTGCTTCTCATCCTCCCATCTGCCATCATTCCAGTATCCCTCCTCCCCAGATTCATCATCCTCTACCTCCCACCCCTTTCCTTCCCCTTCCCCTATAACCAAACAAAATCCCTCTCCTCCACCCTCGTACACGTCAAATAGCCGACCGCCACCCCTTCCCCCTCCAATCCACACCTCATCAAAGGATCTACCACCCTCCTAGCCATCTCCTTCATTTCATCCATCCTTCTCTCGAACCTCTTGATCCCATCCCTACTATAATACTCCGGCGTCAATTTCAAAAACCGCTTGCAGTCTTCATGTCCCAAATATGCACTATTGGACGCACCACCCAGTAACTTAAACGTCCGGCCTATCTGTTGATTTTGCGATATGGTTGAAGGGGGAGGAAGTTGATTTTGAGTGACCGTCAGCGACGAGGCGCGAGAATGATGTGTATTATGAGAACCACTAGTATGACGAGGAGATCGAGGAAGTGGTTGAGGGGGTGTGGGGGGTGGTGAGGTATTTTCCGCAAGCCATTGTCGGAATAAACTCACGACCAACCAATCCGCATACGCATTTCCCGGATTGACTCTCTCGCCCCTCGCAGTCAAGAGCGTTAATCGAAATAGTTGCCCCTCGACACTCCCAACCATATCCCTCAAATCCTCTACTTTATCCTCGATGATCTCGAGTACTTGATCCGGCAATTGATTCCTGATGTGTCGTTCCCCTGCTGGCCAAGCGCCTACAACATGTATGAGGGCTTCTCCGAATATCGTTTTCGATTGCGAGAGATAACCGAGTTTGAGATAGGAGGAAGGATATTTGGCGATTTGTTTCCAGAGGCGACTTTGGAATTGTAGGAGATGGTGATCAATGCGCGGACCAACGACGGCGAGAGCATCGTATAGATCGGCGAGGGTGAGGAGCTTTTTGCATTGTATGTATGCGGTCGCTATATCAATGGAATCGAGAAGTGGCGAATGATTATAGAAGATTCGAAATAGATTATCGTAGTCGTTTAGCAGGTTTTGATCTTCTTGTGTTACTTGCGGAGGTGCTGGTGTGGAGTGTGAGGAGATTGATAGGTTTGCGACGGAGCGGAAGAATGACGGATTGGCTGATGGAGGTTTGTTTCGTACGGGTGGTGGTGGTCGAGTATCGTTTGCGCCGAAGAGGGAGAGGGAGGATTCCGGCTTCTGGACGAGCATTGGTATATCATCATTATTAGGCCCGCTATCCAATTCATATCTCCACCTCCTTCTTGGACCTCCTTCATTCCTTCCCACATCACTTCCCGATTCCTCACCTATCCTAGCCAGCTCCCCTACACCCAATCCTCCCACCTCCGTAGCTCTCGACCATTCTTGACTTGTGCTCGCCTCGAAGAACCCCGAACAATTCGTCAAGATAAGTCGGTGTAATAAATATCGATTTGTTTTCACGCCGGCTTTTATTATAATTTCTACATCCCCCGTATGTGTGAAGACGGGGAAATCGTTTTGCGGTATGTACGATGAACCTCCTGTATGACTCCGTCCATGGCGTCGATGATGCCTCGATGTGCTCGCTCTCGAAACCACCGACGAAGGACCTCGAACAGCCAGCGAATTGGCCGGCTCTGCCTGAGAAACCATTGCGTGTTTCCTATGCATACGAAACATCAGTTAGTATCTGTAAATTGGTGATTTGAATCCATTCCACCCAATGACTTCAGCTTGCTCTCTCATAGTATAAACAAAAACATAGAAGTCTAGACCAAACAAAACAACATACCAAAATATCCACCCTTCACTTCACCTTACACCAAGTTGGTACAAGGCTGATGAAATGATCCGATTAAGAAGCTCATATACCTGTCCAATATCTGCTACGCACAGCGCGCAATCTTTCCTTTAAGTATTGTATAAATAAGAAATAAATAAATAATAAAAGTTTCTTCTTAAAACCAAAATTCCCTCACAAAGAATCTCGACCTCGTCCCCGAGCTTCTATCAAATGTCTCAAAACCACCTCGAACCTTCACAAGTCTTTTCTCTTTTCTTTCTTCCACCCTTTCTTTCTTTATACTACTATGGAATTAAAATCACAATCAAAACCAAACTCAAAAATCATAAATCACGAAACGCGTTCAAGATATCTTCCTCTTCTTTATCTTTTCAAAACAATGTTTCGCGTGCTCTCTGTGCTGCATATATAAATAAGGTCAAGAAACGCGAAAAGTAAAGTATTCAATTCAATTCAGATCAATTCATATTTATCTATCTATCAACATATACTTACCTACCTACCTCCCAGGTACATCCAAGTTCTTCCCTTCCCAACTCCAGGAACACTCACTCTATCCAATCAACCTTGTTTACATGCCTTGCCTTGCCCTTGCCTTGCCTTGCCTTACCTCATCTCTTGCCCTAAAAACCCATCCACATCCACATCCACTTCCACTTCCACTTCCAATTCCAGCCAGCCAATTCTTGCTCTTTGCTTGCTCTTGCTCTTGTGCTCGTTCACCCAGCCATCTCCAATCTCCAATCCTGATGCGCATTCCATAATTTCCATTCCTCTAAAACACGCTTGGACTGGACTTGGACTTGGACTGGACTGGATGCATACCCGCCTTATCTTATTACACCCATTGCATTACACCATTCACAATTGTGCTCCTCCTGTAAATTATACCGTATACGCATAAATATGCATGCATACGGTACTTGTGCATCCATTTCCAGTCATTGATTTGTAGCCAGAAAAATGCATATCTAGTATATATTCAAACCCATACCTAGGTAGGTACGGTACCTATACTCAGTAACCCCCCCCCAGCCAGTCTTCACCAATCAACCAATAAAACCATAATATATATATCCATACTATACACACTACATCCATCTACCTAGAGATCCATCAACTAAACTAAACTAAACAAAACAAAACAAAACTCCGTAAATAAAGACAATTCGTATGTGTTTTAATAATATACTACCTAGTAATCATTTAGTCCTCCAACCTCCAAACTTTGTTCTATAGTCTCTATAAAACCCATCTCTATGAACCGCATCTCATCTCATCTCCGCCCTTCCCCCTCTCTAAATACTTCCAATCCTCCCCTCCCGTCATATCCCCCTTCTTCTCCCATCCCTTTCTCCCATCCCATCCATCAATCCACCCACAATCCCCACCCCGATATTTCCCCTCCCATTCCCATTCCCTTTCCCACCGCTCTACATCTTAACTACTCAGCCCAAGGACCTTAACTTAAGGCCCTTTACAACCTACCATCACAACAGATACCAAGTACTCCATAATCTGATCTTGCAGCCTGCCTCACTTACCTCACTTACCTTAAGTACACCCACCTACCTGGCTCCATTCAGAAGAATCTCATTCTCATTTCTCAAGGCTCTCAGGAAAAATTTCGTCTGAGCAGTGAGCGCTTTCTTTCTTTCTCTGTTACACCATCTCGATCTCGTTGGAGAGTAACCTGGAACAGTAACCTGAAAGAGTAACTTTAGGCCTCAAATCCCCGATTCACTATCACATCGCATTCACATATTCGCATCACTTCGTATCAGTCCGCATCATTTTAAACGACGAAAGAAATTGAATAAAAAAAGCTTTTGTATGATTCAAATTGGTGTGACAACTCGCGCTTGCGTTAGGCATCAACTACTAAAGTCGTGCCAACGAGAGCAGAAACGTCTTGCAAAGTATGCAAAGCCAGCAAACCCATGACCTACCTCCCTCCTATTCTATGTTACAAGTATGTGCTAGACCTAGCCAGGTAGCCTTATCGGTGACCCCTAATTCCGAAATCCCATATGCAAAGCCGAATGCAGTGAAACTAGCCAAACTCCGTGTCCTGTAACCTTAGGAATACCCATTTCATTTTAGTATGTTGGAGCCCAAGGCCGTAAATAGCATTTAGCTCATGTCCATCTCAACCTCCACAGCATGAGTAAGGAGTTCGGTTGTAGGGATTCCATTCATCATCATTTCTTGTCCATTTGTCGTGGCATTCATAATTGGGCTGCTAGCCTTTGGTGTTTCGCTGGCTTCCAAGACCATATCACCCTCAAAGATTGGAGTTGGCCCTCGAAGGTTTTCGAAAGTCTTTTCCAAACTGATGCTTACAAGTCTTCCTTGTCTGAGATCCTCTCCAAATAAGAAATAGCCTTCTTGGGCTTCGACGAGATAACTAGCTAGTCCTCTACTTTGCAGTCTGATGATCGCATTGTTGACAGGATAGTGATTCTCGATATATTTTGTCCAGCCACGAACTGCAGCTTGAATATCTTCGTCGGCGCTTAGTTTGGACCAGCCGATGCCCAAGTGTCGCGTGTACTCATCGATGGAAGGCTGGACGGGACCAGTACCTCCAGTTTGAACAGTTGCTGAGAGCGCACCATTTGCGAAGCTCATCTCTTCGACCATTGATGGGGTGCAGCCTAGATCAATTCTTTGACTCTTGGCCGAACGAACGATTGGTCTTTCTGGACTAGCGGCGCGCAAGGCAGCTTGTACCTTTTCTTCAGCTTCTTTCTCTTCCAACCATGTACCAGTTTGACTATCTGCAGATAAGATATAGCCTTTGCTTGGTTTGATAAGTGTCATCCCTGGTCCATATTCCCATTCCTCTTCATTCTCGACAATTACTGGCTCAACAGGTTCATGTGGAAAGTATTCATCGTCGGCAAATGCAGCTTCGTCGCGTGAGCGTTTGCGACCTGCAGCTGGAGGCGCCGAGGTTGGAGTGAGCCAAGAGCTTGAAGCTGGTGATGGCATAGGCGCCTTTACGAAAGGCGAAGTGAATGTTGGTCGATTGAAAGAAGGCTGAGGTGGTAGATGCGGTGGTATGGTAACAATGGGAGAGGATCGAGAGAAGGCTTGATGAGAGAAGGAACCCATGATGAATGAGAGAGCTTTTTAAGGATTTGAATAGATGGAGATGGTCAGAAGAAGGCGTTGGATTTGGGGTAACTATTTTATCAATTGATTGATGTTTATTGGATAGATGGTAGATGATACTGAATTGATGGTTGTTAAGAGATAGAATGAAGAAGTATGTATTGAGTTGTGTTGGGGATGATAGGGATATGTATGAAAGAAAGTGTTTGATGGAAGAGGAAGAGATAAAATTGAAGTTCAAGTTGGATTAAGATGTAAAGATGATGAAAGATAAAAGGAAAAGGAAAGATGAAATACTTATTGTGATGTGGGAAATGGAAAGGATACCTAGAGAAGAAAAGAAAAGAAAGCTGAGAGAGAGAGAAAGGACGGCATTTTTGAAATGTATGTGAGAAGGGAAAGGGAAGGAAGGAACTTGGGGGTATTTTTCGGGAAGCTCCAATTGGGTTATTATTATTCTAGTAGTAGTAAGTGAAAGCTTGCGTTTTGCGCGACAACCTTTTTATGGCTAGACTCAATTGAAAAAACCTTGGAGTTGGAGAACTTGGTGTGGGTCTTGTTTTTCCCTCTCATCTGCTTCAAACTAAGGTCTGAGAGAATTCTAATTGGTTTAATTAAGTGGATCTTTGAGACATTTTGGGGAAGTTGCTTAAACAAGGATTAAAATGACGGAAGATCGGTCCATGGACGAATAAAACAGTTTAGCCTATTTGACCAATCAAATTGCATTATTCCTTACTATTTCTAGTACGTAGTAGCGCCTAATATACTAGGCAAGTGTGCCAAGATCCATATTAGAACTCGAGAGGGCTGATCTTATGATAGCAATCAATTGCGTACCGGTACTAACCTCGTCATAAATCATATGAACCTTTCTCATTAGCTACCTAGGTACTTAGGTAAGTTAGCTTTCGATCACTTTCGAGGTTTTCCAGTGGAGCTCAACTTCTCAAGTCTTCTTTTGATGTTATAATTATGTTGCGATACCAGGTAATTTTAGCTTGGTCATGTGATCACGTGACAGTTCATGCATGTGACAAATTGTGAAAACCTCAAAGGATACAACAGCTAGAAGTGCAATTCAAAATGATATCCCATAATCTAACTTCAACTCTTCTTTCTGTACGAGTATTGAAGAATCAAAAATAACAGCTTTGTCATCTCAAACATCACACATGCTTACCAACATATTTCTATTTCTATGTGAATTTGTTGTGAATTTGTGATGACATTCCTATGTCAGCCTTGCCCCATCATTAGCGCCGGCCATCTTTGGTGATTTACCGTCATACTAATGCGCGCCTTATGAATTGGATTGTGCTGGTAGATTTGAAATTGCGATTTGATTTCATAACAAATAAAGGAGTCGCATCCTTTTCAAAAAGCTGAAATCAGACACAGAAATACGCATCAATCGATAAATTATGGCTTCTGTAACAAATCTCGATAACGATGTGAATAGCAAGCGGGGTGATAGAGTTACTCCGGCTGCTGTGGACGAAGTGAGGAATTTCATCGAGCAATCATTGGGAGAGAGTCTGCCAGATGTTGGAGATGATCCAAAATTTGGCACATACAATATACTGGCTGCCCTGAAAGATGGAGTAGCACTTTGCAAGTACGTTCAGCTCCTCATCTTTGAGAGAGATCCTCGGTTTGCTAACTTGCTCAAAGGCTCGCAGCTCTGATTGATCCTATAAAAGTCCGTGGATTCAAACCTAAAGCAACAATGCCTTTTATACAACGAGAGAATATCGCTTTGTTTCTTGGCGCATGTGAAAAGCCACCCTTAAGTCTACCAGCGCATGATAGATTCCTTACAGTTGATCTCTACGATGGAAAAGATCCTGCGCAAGTACTTCAAGGTATCGCCGCATTCAGTAGAGCCGCAAATCGAGTCGAACCTTCGAAGTTTCCTAATCCTATCGGTGCCAAATCTCGTGGCGGTGTCCCGAGCCCGCAAATTTCCGGACAATATCTGGGAACTGGATTGAATAATAGAGGCAGGGAGGCTTCAACCACTAGCACTACATCAAGTAGTTACAATCCTACCTCTTCTTTGACGGCTTCAAGAACCGGCGGTTCGGACAGTGGTAGGAGAAGCCCTAGCAGGTTCGGCGCGCCTACATCATCTAGTTCAGTGAGTAGTTGGAGTAAGAAATCCGATGAGGGTGCCACATCTCCAGCATGGAATATTGCGCAATATGGATATATGGGAGGTGCGAGTCAAGGTAATATGGGAGTTTCGTTTGGTGGCAGAAGACAAATTACAAACGCTGGTCCGAAAGTTCCGAGTCTTGCTGAAAAGGAGAAGAAGCGAAGGGAAAAGGAGGCAGAAGATGAACGATCGAGGATTGAAGCAGAAGAAGAGGGACGTCAAAGAGGTGTGGCTGAGGAGGAGAGAGCTCGCATCGAAGAAGAAAGAAGGTTTGCCGAAGAAACCGAGAAGTTGCGACAAAAAACACTAAACGAGAAACGAGAATGGGAGGAACAGGAACGCAAATGGAAAGCAGAGGAAGATCGCAGAAAGCAAGATGAGGCAGAGGCAGAAATTAGAGCTGCAGAGGAGCGGAAGAGACTGAGAGGTACTAGCGACACTCGATTGCAAGGGCAATTCCTCAGTCAATATCAAGCTGAGAACGGCTCAAATAAGAAGAGCCACAGAACCGATTCCAGCGAGGCCGACAGGATTAGACAATTGGAGCACGAACTGGCAGAAGCTCGAGACCGAGAGCGTCGTTACCAAGCGGAGAGAGTTTCAAAACATAAAACTGGCGACCGGGAAGCCATTGAAGATCATGATTTGACATTGCGACTAAAAGAAGAGTCATCAAAAGCTCGACCGAGATCTCGCAGCCGTCCCCGTCCACCACCACGAAAAGATAGCGATGAAACATGGAGAAAAGATGAACGTGACTACCTACGCAAACAATGGAGCTCACAAAATACTAGTGAAGATGCATCACCGCCAGTCAAACCTCCTCGACCATTACCGGAACCAGCAGTAGCCGCCATTAAACCTCAACACACCGGCGGAGCAAAACCTCTACCCGATCCCGCAAGTTACACATCCCCAACTTCTAAAGCCTCGAACCGCACCGACCGCTTCCTTTCCTCGAACATTCCACCAGCCCCACCAAAACCAACCACAACTTACTCAAATGAAATAGGAACATTCTCCAGCAACGCGGAACGCGATGCCGAAGATCGCCGTCGCATCGCATCTCAAACCAAAACTAAAGCAGGCGGATGGGCTTCCAAATCTCTATTGGAAAAGGAAATGGAGATGGAGAGACAACGACAACAGGAATGGGAAGAAAGTCAGAAGGAAGTGAAGAGCAAGGTCCCGGGAGGTGATGGAGTGGATGGAATTGGTGGGGGTATCGGGGGAAAGTGGGATGTCAATCAGTGGACAGGGTACACCGGGGGTGATGGCCAGAATAAAGGAACCCAGGGGATTGGGTCAGGTAGAAGGCAAATTGTGGGACCGAGGCCACCGTCTAATGGAGGGGCATAGATGAGAGATGGGAGATGGAAGGTGGGAGATGCATATTGATACATCTTTTGGAGAGGCGGGATCTAATTTGTTGGGAATGTTAAGCGTAGGTCGAAAATTAAATCAATGCATTTCTTGGAGCGGACAGGGACAGGTGGATACGTAGCGCGTTTTTGGGATGGATTTCTGGGAGAGGGGGATTTTGTACGTACTGTACCTGAGCGAGTGAGGGAGATGGAAATAGATTTGATTAGGGCTAGGAGGCTGGGCCGGGCTGGACTGGACTGGACTGGACTGGACTGGTTTGGGCAGAATCGAGTGTCTTGATTCTTACATGCATGGATGGATGGATGGGTTTAATTAATAAATAAAAATAGTAAATTAGTAATAGATAGTACAATACATACATACCTTGTATGAGGTGGGGGAAGGGTAGGAGAATACCGGTAGTCTGCTCGTTTATTAGGTTTACTAGTTTACTGAGTACTGGTTTACTGAGTACTAGTACAGTAATAGCAAAGAATTAACTAGATTATCTCAAGATGAGATGTGATGTGATGTGATGTGATGTCTCGGTGCTGTATGATTAGATAGACACATGTCAATTACTTGGGAGCTTAGAGAGTGAGTAAGTTGTTGTTGTTGTTGATGAGGGTAGTGAGTGTAGTTGTAGTGAGTGTAGTTGTAGTGAGTGTAGTTAATGAGTGTAATTGATGAGAGGGTGGGTGTTGTGGTTGTGGTTGTGGTTTATGTGGGTAGGTAGGGGTGGATAGATGGATGGATAGTTAATAGAAATCTAGAGGATAGAGGATTGGGTGGGTATAGATAGAGTATGATATAGAATACTCGTAGAATTTGGAAAGGGAGAGAGAGAGAGGAGAGGAGAGGAGAGAGGAGAGGAGAGAGGAGATAGGGAGAGAGAGAGAGTAGGAGAGGAGAGAGAGAGGAGGAGAGGGGTATTTCTTAATGGGTTGTATGTATATATGTATGTATATAAAGATAGAAATGAGGTAGAAGTTGGGGATAGAATTAGAGATTAGGCATACATCCATACTCCTATGCGATACCAGTATCAAACTCAAACTACCCAATGTGTAATACGTATGGTATGGTATATGTATTATTTAATAATAAATGTATACATACGTATACCAAGGCGTAAGTAAGTAAGTAAGTAAGTCATAGATTAAGATTACTGGAATAGAAGTATTGTAATTAGTATCTACAGTATATTCTGTTGAATTTGCCGAGCAAGCGAGTGAGTGAGGGAGTGAGCAGGCTGTCTGTCTGTCTTTCTTTCTTTCTTTCTTTCTTTCTTTCTTTCAAGATTTGTAAATCTAGTTTATTTATAGGGAGAGGGTGGGAGGGGAGGGACGGGAGGTTCAATGACGGGTAATGTAATTCGCACTATTGTTGTTTTGTTTTTGTTTTGTGTGGTTCATAGTCGGTTTTCCATACTCGTACAACAGCCACCTACTTCCCAGTCTAGTCGGGGGAGCGATTATCGTTTGCAAACGATTGTTCCCCTCTTTATCGAATAATATATATATCTCTATATTTATTATCATTGCTGAGTATAATTTTGGGAAATATTGATTGATAAATGATAAAAAATTAGGATATATTTTCAGTAATCTTTTGTTTTCTTAAGAGGTACCCGGTATAGTTTATAAAAGGGGATAATCGCTTACAAAGGGAGACTATAGTAATGGCTTTCCCTGATTGGGAACCTGGCAGGATAGCTGACTACTGTATGTATTAGTGAGTTATTAATATAATTAGATATGGGTGTGTGTGTATAAAACGAAACGGAATGAAACGAAACGGATATCGAGGTTAGAAAAACAGAAAATCAGAAGTTGTGTGGAATTTGGAGGGTGCCATGGCTAGTGTTGGGGACTGGAGTCTGGGGTGAGTGAGGGTGCATATTATGATGAATGACTGGCATGTTTATGTTTTTGGGGGTCTCTTGAATCTTGTTGAATATCTAGGTATTACAGTAATTTATGTTCAAAACTCCGCTGGCATTTACTCCGGATATTCATATAGGCAAGTAAGTAATTACTTAGATCGTAAAATCTTGAACTTATTACCCGTAGAGCCTGAGGGGTCGAAATTATTAACAGATGAGAGTGAGAGGATGTGATTGCGAGTATAGTATTATCTTAATCTTAGATAGCTAGGCTTCATTCCTGCTTGATGGCCATGGATGCGTTTAGTTATCTATTGTATAATACTCGAGTAGCGTATGATGGATTTTGAATGGATATTGATATTGATATTGATAAATAGTTCTTATAGATTGAGATATGATATGATTGATATCCGCTATACTTACATACAGTAAGCCATACTGGTTTAATCTCTAGTATAACAAGAGAAAATATACCAAAAAACATATATATATAAAATTGTAAAATTATGAAAAGATACTTGTGAATGAATGAATAGTCAGAGTTAGATTCAAGAGAGGGATCGATATCCCATCTCGATTTCTGCTCAATATCTTGGGTTGCACATCTATCTACTCTTACAATACAACAATGTTCTGGGAATCCTGGATCAATTGATGTGATGGCTTTGAATGTAGTTTTGATAGTACTGCTACCGCTCTTCTTGCTCACATTCAAATTTTTCGCCGAGTTTGGGTACTGTATGTTTATCATTCCTTGTACTCAAGTAGTAATGTAATATATGAGATATCAGAAATTCAGAATACTCAGGTGGATAGTCTTTCATTTCTCATGCTAAGTTTAGAACTATGTATATCTATATATTAAAATTTAACAGATTACTATACTGTATGTTTCCATATCTCCACAAATATACCTACTCGAGTAAAGTAATGATCAAGTATCACATCGTATAGTGTCGTATCGTATCGTTAGAACTTCACATAATCCATACGATACGATACGATACGATACAGTACAAAACGTCTAATGTCTAACGTCTAATGTCTGTCCACTTGAACTAAAAATTCAGTACACTATTATAATTTATAGTATCATCCGATGAGATATTTGCTGTGGATATGAATCGAGTATACATAATTAACCCACACTTCTATCTTCTATCTTGATAATGTTGTTGGACTGGATAGATTGGATTTGCAACCTCAGAATGTGCAAAACGAGCCAGACTAATATTATCGATAGCATTGGGTCATGTATTGGGTAGAGTAATGAGATATTACCCGAGTAATTAAATGGGGTGATGTGATGTAATGTAGGACTTTAGTCTTTAAACTGGAGAGATAGATGATGAGGGAATGTACTCGAGTGCTGATGTTATATACTACACAAAGATAGTTTAGCTTTATGAAGAAAATTATACATATAGTATACTCGAGTTATATTCCCAAGTGCTAGTATAGCCACCGACTATCATCACATACTAATCTATTTATTTGGGATATCTCAACATATCATATCATATCATATAATATAGATAGATAATGTAAATGAATCCCAACAGCTAACAGCTGGCTGGCGTTCACTACGAGTAAACGAACAATCAAGGTAGGTATTTGAATTACTCATCTCTTTGCACATACATATACTCGTATACATCAACTCATCTCATACGAGTATAATAAATAAACAGAGCTAATATCTAAACAATACTACTCGAGTAGACTTCCTCTATCTTCCCAATACAGTACACAAAGTGCAAAGTAGCAAATCTGGAACTCTGAGTTCATAGATATTCATCCCATTCGATAGGTATATCAGATCTGGATCTTGATCTGGTGTCTCATGCAACCAACATACATTTTCCTATCTAAAAAGATGATGATGTAATACTACTCATCTATGATCTATGATCTCTCTCTCTCATAGGTAGAGGCGTGCCAGCTAATACCTAGTTATATTGGTATTGAGGGAGGAGGGTGGGAAAATAATTAGACACAGCACTGATACATACACAGATACATAGGAGCATTAAATTAAATTGGCAACCAAACGGATCGGTCTATCAATGAATAAATAAATAAAATAGTCTTGCTGGCAACAGCGATTTTCTGATAACATTAATAACATTATTGTAATTTTACGTCGCCGTCCCCATCGCCGTTTATCTCAGCAGTGTAGATATCCCTCCTCCCTACCAGTTCTAGGCAATCACTTAATCACTTAATCACTTAATCAATCGATCATTTCCATTTCCAAATACCAGTATAAAATCACCCCCAAAAAAACCATAACCTTCCTAACCTTCCATATCTTATCTCATCTCATAACAAGGAAACCACTATACTGTATATAACTAGATAGGAAGTCGAGACACATTTTACATAATACTCGTACAGTACATATATATATAGTCCAAATAAAATGGTAGCACTAGCTGTATTCTGTATTCTGTATTCTATATTTGAGCATAGGATATAGGATATAGGATATAGGATATATATCGTGATTCGTTAAGTATGTTACTGTACTGTATGTATCGATTTCCGAGAGTATGTATATATAGTGAGCAGTGAGCAGCGAGCAGTGAGAGCTTGATGATGATGATAATGATGATGATGATAAATAAAGGATGAAATGAGAAAATAAGAAATGATGATGACAAAACAAGGAATAAGAAATAAGAAATAAGAAATGAGATAGCGAGAAGGTATTATATGCATATATATATAAGTACACTGCACTGCACGCACTACACAGACTCACAAACAATAAGAATAGAATAGAATAATAAAGTTTACTTTACTTTAAAGTAAAGTAAAATAAAGTCTAGAGCCTAGACTACTCAAGTAAAACATAAGGTAAGGTAAGAAGGACTTTTATATATCCATCAATTGGCTTGTTAACACTCGAGTACAGTACAGTCAGTATATAGATTTGAACTACCAGGATGGCTGCGGCATAGGTAGGTAGGTATAGGCAACTAGCCAATATCATGTTAATATTAATTAAGACTTACCAATACATTGGTTTAATAAATCTGGGCTGGGCTGGGCTGGATAGTGAGGTTTGGTTGGTTGGTTGATTAGTTGGTTGTTGCGGGCTATACTCGAGTAGATTTCTTTCTTACCACCCCGCTGCCCCCCCTTTTTCCCCCTTTTTACTCAAAAGGCAATGAATCTTCATCTTCATCTTCATATTCATAATAAACCCGAAAATTTTGAAAATTGAAAAAAAAAAAAATTGTAATTTCGAGAGAAAGCTAGCCCATGCCAATGCGGCTCCTCCTATCTCTATCTCCTATACATACATACATTGTATAGGTGTTGTATTCTAAGCATAATGTTTTCATAAAATATTCATCCTTTTTCAATAGCCAAGTGGGAGGGAGCTTGGAATACTCGTATACCTGTAGTATTCTTTGTGTTCCTGGTATGGTATGGTATGGTATGAGCGAACTCCACCTACTCAGCTCCTCTTGCTTTTGCATCAAAGTCCTCGTTTGTTGTGTTGGTCACCTCTCTCTCCTTCTCTCCTTCTCTCCTTCTCTCCTTCTCTCCTATGGATATGATTTGATATGATATGAAAGCACATGATTTACATGTTATGTTGGTCATGATGCGAATACTCGGACAACTTGGTCTACGCATCCGGTTGCAATAACACATCTGATGCTTACTTTTGCATCCTCTTTCTTCGTCGTGCCATTTCCATTCGTAACCGAAGTGCCCACTCCATTTTTCCCCCCATTGAGAAGAGGAACATCTTTGATAACGCTTGGAGCCCATCTCATACAACTGACGAAATGTCCATGCGAATCACTTATCGTCTTCACACACTTTCCCTCTTGGGCGAGATCCCAACACCTCAATGTTCTATCGTCTGCCACACTTAGCAGATATTTCCCTCCAGGATGGAAAACAAGGGCTCTAATCCAATTATCATGGCCAATCAGCGTTTTGATCAAGGTACCCCGAGCATCCCATATTCGAATACTCTTGTCTCGAGCTCCGGTGGCGACATATTCGGCCGAACTGCTTGCGGCAGGTGGTTTCTTTAATCCTGCCATGGCGGCCAGATGAGGATAACTCGCTGGTGGTGCAAATACACAACATTCAATCGTATTCTCATGACCCAATAAAGTTGCCTTTGGTTCTCCCGATGAAGCATCCCATATTCTTGCGGTTTGATCGACTCCAGCTGACAGAAGCCATCGGCCATCAAAAGAAGGTGCTACATCACGAACCCAATCCGCATGCCCTCGAATGGTTTTGACGCAATATCCAGTGGAAACGTCCCATATCCGTAAAGTTTTATCTCGACTTGCAGATACTAAGAGATTTCCTGATGAGGGTGACCCAGCTGCTCCACTAGGTATGAATCGTACAGCTGAAACTGAATGGTCGTGTCCAGGTAGTGTGCGAATATTTTTATATTGATCGCTAGGGTCCCATAATTTGATAGTAAGATCACTAGAACACGATGCCAGTAATGTTCCTCCTCTCGGGCCACCAAAATCAACATCTAACACCGCTCTTGTGTGTCCCTTGACGGTGAGTTCTAATTCTCCAAGCTCCCAATCCCAAATTTTGATAGTGCAGTCCTCCGACCCGGATGCCAATGATGAAAATACCGGATGAAACGCAACACACGTAATTGCTTCCCTGTGCGACTGAAGATTGTGCCTTGCTGGTGATTTTGGTAGCCAAGCCGCAGGGTCGGTATTTCGATTTGATAGAGATGTAGGTGTTGCATTGTCGATTTCACTTTGTAAAGCCGCGTTTCTCGATTCAAGGTCCATTATCTATTTCCGAATAATCAGTACAACCCTCTTGTTGGATTCAACATTCGAGTATTCCCAACCTTCTTCTGCAACCGCACCACACTTGTCCATTTCTTCTCCAACAGACCCTCATATTTCTTACTCGTGGCAGAATCGAAGCTTTCGCCAATGTCAAGTTCTTCTCGTAACGTCGCGGCAGTATGTAAAAGGTTCGTTGAGGTAAGGTATGCTATCATAGACTTGTGCCTGCGGAGTAATAATTATTAGCCATCTTGAGGATGTGATGAAGATATGTTCAACTCACAGCTCCTCGGCTTGCCGCGACGTCAGAATTTGGCTCATGGTGATTATTGTATGCGATACATGAAGTTGAATGCGAAATTTGGATTGATTTCTTCCGAGGCGATGCGCCTGGCAAGCGAAATGTTGAAGTTCGTTTCTTGTCTCCCGATATCTGATAAGTGATGGATCTCTTCACAGATAGGTTAAATTCGTTGTGTGATTTTGTGCCTTTGCTTTTTCGATCTGCACGTCTGCACTGTACACGATTGCACACGTTCTTTCTCATGTACTGGGAAGTTTATGTTCAGGTATGTTTATGGCTGATGGGCTGGCTACACTTTATTTATGCTTGAAGGGCGGGGTGTCCATAACTTTTGTTTCGTTTCGATGGGTAGACGGTAGGGCAGAAGTTACTTCTTTTAAGGCTTTTGAAGATGAAACAGTATTGTACAAGAATTAGTAGGTAATAAGGTAGATAAGAGAGGGTTTATGATCTTGTGCATTAGGTTTCACATTGATGATATTATTTTTATACTATTTTAATTGAGTATTTTAATATTCTCTTCTTTATCTATGGCTTCTAGAGTCAAAGTTTCACCCCTGACACTAACAGGGGTTAACTTAAAATCACCGTCGTTACGGTTATGGTGATGGGGAGGTAGTAGTCAACAACACAAATACTGACCCAAGTACAGTACTGTTTAAAACCAACGCATCAAATGGATCTATAGACAAACCCGTACTCTGATCTGATTTGATATTATACACTTAAAAAAATCATTGGAAAAACCAATTTATTGCTTACCTTTTTTGATATCCAAAGTTCGTATCAAACAAAACATTCAAGAACTTCTTTACATTCTCAAAGATAATTAATTTCTTCAATATTCTATTCTATGATATCCTAAATCATTTTACTCAGTTACTCAAAATACTTCCCTTCTTAGAATTTTACCCCACGACCATAAAGTCTTCCTCGAATTTGCGCACAACTTCAAACTGGTAGGTACCCTCCTTTGCTCTTTCCTATATGCGATAATGATGATGATGATGATGATGGACTTTCATAATCTGCGACATCTTCAAACTACTTCTTCTCTATTGTATGATTCGGGACGGAGAAGCATCCCCCTCCATTGCCCGTATCCATGTCTTTACGAAACTTGAAGCTAACTAAACGCATAGCTACTGGAAAGCTACCACAAACCCCTCCAAAAGTTACAGTAGCCAAGATGGCAGAACAAGAAGAAGATTTCAGTTCTCTACCCCTCCCTGATAGATTTCAACATAAGGTATTGTCGCCCTGCTACAATTTCACCACAACTACCTTTATCCTTTGCGCCATCCTCCCTTTCCAACTGGCCGTACGCATAGACTAATCTTTATTTTTGATGATAGATATGGAAAGTAAGGAAAGCAGCATATGAAGATGCAGCAAAACAATTCGGAATCTCACCAGATGAACATGCCCCGGTGTTTAAACCATTCCTTAACGACCCTGGATTATGGAAGGGGGCGGTGGCAGACTCGAACGTTGCGGCACAACAAGATGGTATCGCAGCTTTATGTGTTTTTCTCAAGTTTGGTGGACGTGAGCACTGTACCAGAACACGAAGTCATACATTAACTTCATTAGTCGAAAAGGGACTAAGTTCAACAAGAGCTGCTACCAAAGCATCTGCCCTCGAAGCCATTTTGTTATATGTCGAATTGGATATAGCTGCTCCCGTCGTCGAAGAGCTTATCCCCGCGTTGTCGAATAAACAACCAAAAGTCGTCGCAGCAGCTGTAGCCGCACTGGCTGCCATATATCATAATTATGGATGTAAGACGGTGGACCCCAAACCAGTTCTCAAAATTCTTCCAAAGCCCTTCGGCCACGCAGACAAGAACGTACGTGCGGAAGCCACAAATTTGGCCATCGAGTTTTATAGATGGTTGCGAGAGGCCATGAAGCCAATGTTTTGGGGAGACCTCAAGGCCACACAACAAACGGATATGGAAGCTCAATTTGAGAAGATCAAGGGAGAACCAGCGCCAAAACAAGAACGATTTCTCAGATCACAACAAGCGGCAATGTCTAGAGCGCCTCCTCCAGGTGAAGCCGGCGCAGAAGAGGAGGATGAGTTGGAGGCTGAAGCTGTCGAAATTGACGCATTTGACTTGGCTGAACCGCAAGATGTATTGTCCAAGGTCCCTGCAAATTTCCATGATCAATTGGCCTCCTCAAAATGGAAAGAACGAAAAGAAGCGCTAGAGGCTTTGTACACCTGCGTCAACGTTCCAAGAATCAAGGACGCCGACTTTGGTTTGGTAATTCATGGTCTGGCGAAATGTATGAAGGACGCTAATATTGCAGTTGTCACCCAAGCTGCACAGTGTGTTGAGGTTTTGGCTCAAGGTCTACGGAAAGGATTCACTAAATATAGATCCGTTATTCAAAGTCCTATTATGGAGAGGTTAAAGGAGAAGAAGGCATCGGTCTCGGATGCTCTTGGTGCTGCACTAGATCAGGTATTTGTAGCAACGAGTTTCACGGAATGCCTGGAGGAAACTATCGAGTTCTTGAAACACAAAAATCCTCAAGTTAAGGAGGGAACTGTTAAGTTTTTGATTAGATCACTCAGGACAACTCGAGATGCTCCTTCTAAAGCCGAAGTTGGTCAGATTTCAGAAGCCGCCAAGAAGTTACTTGCTGAGTCGAGTGAGGTATTGAGGTCTAGTGGAGCTGAAGTCTTGGGTACAGTCATGAAGATTATGGGCGAGCGTGCAATGGGGCCTCATGTTGAAGGGCTCGATGAAATTCGGAAGACAAAAATCAAGGAATTTTTCGAATCTGCAGAAGTGAAGGCAAAGGATAAGCCTAAGCCTCCACCCGCTCCTGTAGCTCCTAAAGCTGCCCCAGCAGCAGCACCCAAGAAGATGGTAAAGAAGGCAGCCGCAAAGAAACCACCTCCAGCACCAAGTCAATATGCCCAACAAGCCCCGTTAGAGCCTCAGCCCACATCCAGAAGTGCCGCTGGATTAAAGAAGCCACCTGGTCTTGGATTGAAGCCGCCCGGAAAGAAAGTGGTACCACCAGCACCTGCTTCGCCCAAACGTGCCGCCCCGTCACCAGCTCCATATGAAGAAGAAGAAGAAGAAGCTCCACCTCCACCTCCACCTCGTGTGGGTCTAGGCCGTGGTCCTGCTGGCCGATCCTTGGCAAAAGCGCCAGCCGCCAATGCAGCTCCTCCTATGTCAATGTCACCTCCGCCGAATGCCGGTTTGACTGCCTTGGAGAAGGCTGAGTTGGAAGAATTGCGACTGGACAAAGATCGATTATTACGCCAGGCTGACGAATTACGCCAAGAACGCTCGCGACTCAATTCCGAGATTCAAGAATTGAAGAATCAAAATGCACAGCTAATAGAGGATCACACGCGAGATGTCTTATCTATCAAAGCAAAGGAAACCCAACTTGTTCGCTCGAGAGCAGATGCCGAAACAGCGGAAGCAATGTGTGCGCAATTAAGGAGGGAGCAGCAGAGGTTAAAGCATGCCTTGTCAGCCGCCGAAAGAGTCAGTAATCATAGCCCATCTAGAGGATTAACAAGCCCCGGACGTGATGGTGCTCACGATGAAGGTGGAATATACCGTGAATCTATGTATGGCGCCCCATCAGATGGTGGACGACAAGAATATAGAAGTCGTCCCCGTATGTCTATGACATCGTCAATTGGAGAAGATAAAGAAAATGGGGCTGGCCCATATGGCCGTAACATGCTAAGCCCTGATTTGGAACCAGCAAGCAATGGAAGATCAAGTGCTGCAAGTGGTAGTGGCAGGGCTAGTCCGGCACCAACATCTTACCCAAGTGAGCGCATGTCTAGAATTGGTGGTACTGCCAGTGGCAATGGAACAGGAGTGGAAAGCTGGAAGAGGGCTGCCGAGGTCACAAGTGCTTTGAAGGCTAAAATTGAGCTAATGAAGGTGAGTTATTGATACATTTTGCTTACTTGCCGTTTTCAAGGTACTAATTACATTTCGTCCACAGGCACGGCAAAACATATCAAAACATTGAGCATATGAGAATTAAATATTTAACGAACCAAGGATAAAAATATGCATTGAGAGGGTTGGGCAGATGGCGCAAGGGAAGGGAAGGGAAAGGAAAGGGGTTATTTGGTTCTGATCAAACGGTGTTGTGGTCGTGCTTGGTATTGTTTCTTGTGGTTGGGGTGGTATCCTCTGTCTTGGTGCATGTAGGGGTTTTTATTTGTTATGGTAGACGAGAGGTGAGGCGAATGCGAAATGAGGCGAAACGAAACGAGACGAGATTACGCTCATATGCTGTGTTTTGTATGCGTGGTCGTGGCTGGCTATGCTATAGCTATACGTGTACTGTACCTACTTGTACTTGTACTGTATTTGGGCAGCGCAATGCAATTGTTTGAGGATAGATCATATCATGTGCGTAGATGTACGTATATGTTTATGGATTTGCTATAGATGGATGGATGGGGGGGGGGGGGGGGTTTCTTCTTGATGCAATGATACCACGGAATAAATAAATAGATTAATGGATTAATTATTTCTACTTGTCGACTTTTTAAGTTGTGATGTTTATTTTGTGTTGTGAATAATGTATTACGAGTACTTGAGTGATTAATTAATATAATTGGATGTGAACGTGATGTGTTGGAAAGGGGGATGGGGAAGCTTTTCGGATCACGGAACGGCAGTTTATATTATTCGTTGGTTTGTATGTACTCGAGTACGGGTGCTTCATTAATTGGCTAGGTGGCTTGTGTTTATGGAGTATACCGGTATGCATAATTGATGGCTTGTAATGTAATGTAGTATGGTATGGTATGGTATGGTAGGTGGGTAGGTATGTATATAGTAGGTAGTAGGTAGGTGGGTATGGTTGTATGTAATGCTTGAATGGGACTGGTTTGGGATGGGAATAGGGTTGGGAATGGGTATTTAGATGTAGATGTAGATGGTTGAGGGATGGGGATGGGGGATGGGGATGGGGAAGGTTTGAGGTATGAGGTTTGAGGTGGAAGTGTCAGCTGTGAAGTGTTGGGGATGTGTGTACCTATGTACAGTATGAGTAGGTATAATGAGTACGGAGTATGGAGTATGGAGTATGGAGGATGAGGGATGGTGGGCGTGGGGGTAAGGGTTGAGGAAGGGTAAGAAGGGTAATTAAGAATTGTTTATAGTACGGGTCACGGGTGGCATGGCTAGCTTGGAATTAATTAGATTGGATGATTAGATAGAAGGATGGGTGAACACTGAAGAGATGGAGAAATGGAGAAATGCTTCAGCAATGAAGTTGAGGATGGATGTGGAGAATGAATTGAGTAATTGGTGTAATTGTAGGTACCTAGTTAGATTGGGATGAGATGGGAGTAGTAATTGAGAAATAATAAAAATAAAAATAAGAATAAGAATATTCGAGTAAATAAATTACTATAATATCTATCTATCTATACGAGACGAGTATAGTACTCGAGTAAAACGTAAACGTAAATGAAATAGGAAGATAATCAATCTCCTTGGAAGGAAATTTGTGGGGGTGGGTGGCTTGGGTGAGATATATCTAGGTGGATAGATAGTTAGATCGAGTGGAATTGGGTGAGATGGGTTGGGTTGGATTGGATTAGGTGTTCTCTAGATGCTTTTATAATGAATAAATATATCTTCTCTTGAGATTGTTAGTAATGGGAATAAGAGATGAGAGGAGAGCTGGGATGTGCGGTTATGATTATGCTTGTCAGATGAGAATGAATGTGGTGGTGAGATGTGGTGGTGAGGTGGGTGTGGTATGATGCAGCACGGGTATTTGGATGTTGTTTTCGAGTAACGGTGTTGTATTGGGGTTTTTATAAGGGGATTGGTGAGGGGATTGGTTGGATGATGGGTTTTTGTTTATATTGGTGGGAAGGAGAAAGAGGGAGGGGAGAAAGATACCATAATACTTAATGGTGAATACCTCCAGCCACCCCCAGCTTCAATATAATGGTTATTAATGACACCCCTAAAATACGCATCACAACAATGGGATTAAAATTAAATAAACACATGGAAATCTTCAAATGGGTGATCCAAGTTTGGTAGCGAAAATCTGGAATGTACCGTATGCGAATGTATGCGCTGCTGGAAATGGATGATGATGGCCTTTGCATGGCTGGAGTGGTATTGGGTGCTAGGTAGGTGTATGTAAGGGTCTTTTGTTTGGATGGGGGTATGTGAGGTATGGGTATGGTATGGAGTATGGAGTATGTATATGTATATTGTTAATATATACTCGAGTATATGAGAATAAAATAGATAGGTGAGATTTGATTATTCCTTTATAGTACTGTACGATTTTATTAGGTGTTATATACGAGTATTGACATAACATGAGAGGTTGGTTGGATAAGTTGGGTATCCATCTTCACTTCACTCATCATCTCATTTTTCAGCAATTTAATTGACATACCTAGATGGTGAGCTTGTGACTTCATCTAAGATATAGTGTGCTATGCATTTGTTATCAATCGATTGATACTATCGAGGGAAAACTATCGATAGGATGGATCTTCACAAAGGGGTTCACGCATAAGCATGAGTCTATGGTTGAGTCTATGGATGAATAGGGCAGGTGGGGGTTATACGAATGATGGATGGTGGATGGGTGGCTAGCTATCGTATATCTGTGGATGAGCGGGCGAAGCTGACTTGGCTGATAGGTAGGTATGCAAGAGGATGAGGTGCAAGAAGACGAGGTTGCTCGGAGTAAGGTTAGTCGGTGAGAGAATTAGTATGAACCAAGGAGGAAATATCTAACGACTGCCTGCCTCGAGCCCCCACCAGAATTGAAATCACCAGATGAATGTCCCAGGCCATTATTATTCCTTGATGAATGAATGAATTGGGTAAAAGTCGTGGAAAAACATATTAGTTCTATTATAACAATACTTGAGTACAGCACAAGACTTTTCTGAATGCTTTCTCGGATCATTGAATCGGTATAATATATGATATGATATGTACTGCATGTGTCTACATCTATATCATGCAGGAACCATATGATCAGATACTGTATGTATGTCCAGGTCCACGGAAATGAGATATTATAAAATGATCATCTATCTTTCATGCTGGACAACTGTATATATGTATATATATGTATGTATGTACAGTACCGATATATGTACAGCAACGACTCAAAAACCGGTAACCAAGTGATTTGGCACCAGTGCAGTAACCTTACATACCTTACTGCAGCCAAATACTCGTATTGGGGTCATCCATCACGTCGTTGTCGCATTCCGAGTCGACAATATGGCCAGGTTCGGGAAGAAAACCGTTATGTCAGGCTGGACGGGTTGGATAATGATAGTGAGTGCGTATACAACATCGTTGGAGGGGCGGGCTGGATAATGATCCTGCGTATACATCGTTGGAGGGGCGGGTTCGGTCGGATGTGATTATCCGTTGCCCCTTCAGCTTTTAAATCTGTCCTCGACCCTGTCGTCGTTGCCATCTATATGAAAATCATTGGAATATGCACATGCTGGCACTCACAACTATACTAGGCGAGAGGCGAAATCGGTAGAAGGGTCTCCGTGGTATAGGAAAGGGGAAAGGGGAAGACCTGGATGCTGCACTCAACACCAGTGTATGTTGTGAAATATCCAATCCAACGCGATGCGATGCGATGTGATGCGATGTGATGCGATGCACTGCGATGCGACGAGCTTGCCGCTTATTTTCACCTCCTTCTATTCAAGCTCTGCTTGCAATTGTTTAATAAGTACTGTAAACACCAACCAACCACACCTAGCAGAACACCAAAAAAATCAACAAACGCAACACCAAAGATCAGCACACCCCAAATCACCTAACCTAACCCTCTTTCCTTTCCCATCTCCCGAAGATCATGCTTGCTTCTTTCTCTTCTCCTCTTTCTCTCCCGTCTTCGCATGTCTCTCTGAATCTCTACCATCCAATCTTTCCATCGCAGCTGGTCAATCAAAGCCAAGCCAAGCCAAAGAAAGAATAAGAATTGAGGAAATCGTGGAAATCGAAACATCATCACCTACACTTCACAGAGCACAACATGAGTTTTCTTGTGCGTCAATATTTGATCACCTTCTTCAAATCTTGTCCCATCTCGCTCATCTATAATACAAATCCCATGCCCAGAATTCAGTAATCCCGTAATGTAACGTGCGACAAACAGGATTTTATTTCCCGTAAGCCACTACTGTACCCTTCCATCCATCCAGTCTCTGTCTTTTCTTTGCTCCTTGTGCTTGTGCTGCTGCAAGCACTCGCTTCCCGACGGGAACTTTTGGTAGATATGCTTTTCACTTTTTGCGCATAGGGATATTGATTTGATTGATTGATTAATTCATATTTGCAATAAATGAATGCACTTGCAGCCGTTTTTCTTGCTTTCTTTCCATGTCTTGTCTCGGATGTGGAGGAAACAGTCGCGATAGGAGAATAGGGAATTTATAATTGAATATTCTCCGCATGACGACCTCTGTGTGAGTTGGGTTGCTCCGGTATGAGCCGGTATTGGTTGTCTTGAATCTTGTGGTGTTGGATATGTAAGTAACACTTTCAGGAAAACGATGCTTACTTCCGGCGCAATGAGAATATTCGGTTTGCTTACATTGTTTTTAGCCACTTTATCTGTGCTAAAGAGATTTATTCTGATAAAGTAGATAGCGAGCTTGGTCCATATATCTATAGTAGGTAGGTAGGTATATATGACATGAAACTTCTCGGGGCCGTTGAAGATATGGTGATATAAGGTGATCAGTAATGACTTGCCTAATCGGGCATCTCTTCAACTAATTATTGTTTAATCCAATATCAGCTCTCATGGATTCCCATCCCTCGACAGCTGCACCACGCAGTCCACCCCCACCAAACCCCAGGTCTTTCTTGACCTCTTTGGAATATTGACAGGATGAACTACCCTGTCTAGAACCAGGCCAACCTAGATTAATTAATCTACTCAGTATCTTTCCACGCGGATACCTAGAAAAGTACAGACTGTACATTGGGACCTTGCTCACTCAAGATCACTAGTAAACTAGTAAAGTAAAATTGGAAGATTAATTCTCCATAAGTGCATAGCCAAGGGCTGATCATTACATACATTCGGAATCCCGGGAATAATAAAATCACAATACTCGTAGATATAATAGATCAAGATAGAATATAAATATATCTTCGGTACCAGGATTCTAATACAGGCCCGCCCGCCCTGTACTTCAGGGTAGAATGGAGCCTGAGAGCCCGAAGATCTAGTTACTATAGTAATAGAAAGGAGAACAAGAATGCGAATCTCTATTATATAATACTACTTGTTTACTGAGAACCTTCTTACTTGCTAATGTCGATAGCGACAATATAGATTCTAAAAGCTAATTACTATATTCATTAAAATAAATAGTAAATAAAATAAAATAATTTATATATAAGAATATTATATATATCTTTTATATAATCTATTATTCTATTATATTATTATATTATATAATTATTTATAGATCTTAGAATAGTTTTATAAAAGAAAAAATTGAAATAATCTAATATATTAATAATTTATACTCTATTTTCAATACTTTTCTTTCGCTTAGATATTCCACTCGCTTGACTACTTATTCTCAGGCCATGAGAAATTTAATAACTTTAATTTTCAATTTTCAATTTCCAAACTCTAAATCTACTTGATCTGTCTCTCCTTCTTGCCTCCCTCCCCCAAAAAGAAATCTGAAGGCATCCTCAAAGATGGCTCGCAATGAAATGTAAGTCACGGCCACGTTAAACTTGTGGTCAAAAGGTAACTATTTCTCAATATCATCTTCTCCATGGTCAGATGAAGATGACGTTGATATGAACGGATGAGTTTTTTGGCACTTTTTTAGCTGAATCATTTATATCTACAAAGATCTCATCGTGAATTGATTATGTCTAATACAGCTCAAAACTTCCAATCATCAAAGGGCCACAACTCCTTTACATCCTGCTCTGTCATTGTATCATCTTTATTTTCGCTTGCAGTTTTTAAAGCGAGAAAGACTTCTCGGTGAGCATATTTCACCTCATCCCAACCATCAGAATCGGTGCCTAGCAATCTTATAAGCATCAATTTGAGCTCCTGAACATGTTGAAAGGCCTTGTATTCTTTCTTGTGTATCTCAAGCTCATTGTCAGAAGGCTTATAAGGACATTCGCCATCTAGACTCAAGTCGTTCCAGTTCTCTGCAAGATCAAGGAATTCCTGTCGCACTGCAGTTGCACTATCCCTCCAGGAGGTATTCGAGTATTGGAATGGCCGAATAAGTGACTGATTAACTGATCTTGCTACCCGCAACTTAGGAATAAAAGCCTTCATACAAATTTCATATGCCTGATTGCAGTATGAAGCTACCTTCTCCATTTTAAGATCTTTTTCGGATAAAGAGGGTTTGTCATGAAAATCGGGAGATGTTGCAAAATCCGGAACTTCGCTTGCATAGATGAATGCAGGTTCAATTGAACTCGATTGCCAATCAATAAGACATGTTATTAAAGTCGGGTCTTCATCCGAAACAAATATATTTCTAGCATGTAAATCTGCGTGTAGCAAAGTTGGTGCCGAAGCATGCTTGATTTGTGGTTGCGTTGTCAAATTCTGAAGGATATTTTGAGCTGAATCTAACAGACTCTGATGTTCTTTTATTGTACTGAAGTAGGAAGGCCGTGATATATGAATATCGGAAGATGGAAGTTTGGAATGTCCATTAGCAATTAGTCCTAACGAATAAGCTGCAAGATCTTTCCCTTTGTATTGTGTTAGAGATATTTGGATAAAAGTATTGGAATTATTCACATACATGGTCCTGTGGGGGCTGTAATTCCTCCTCTCCCTGTATCGCTTGTATTGCAACCCCAGTATGTAGTCGAACAGTGCGGTCCAATACAGAAACCTTTGCCAAAAGGTATCTTCAATGTCGAATCGAATGATGCATTTTCAAAATGAATACTCCCGTATGCAGGAAACTCAAGGGCTGCTAATTGCTTCATTGTCATACAAATGGATTGAACACATTTCGTATATTGACTTCCAGACATAGTAGACCATCTCTCTTGTAATTGCACACCCTCGACATGCTTCATAATAATGTATTCACTGCCAATGGGATTCTTTGAGTCATCTGACCAAGCTAGAATATGAGGTACAGGAACTGTTGTATAGGCTTTCACTAAATTTATAAGTTAATTATTATAGAATTCTGCAAAAGATCACAGTGATGCTTACCGTATGCTATGGTTGCTACTTCAGAATTGGTAGTCAAAATTGAAGGACCTGCAACTCGGGTTGGCAAGCGTGCTACTATACGTTTCCCATTATTCATTAGAAATATAAGAACTTTGTTAAAGCCACCCTCCTTTTTGTCGTAACTGATAATGTGCGACGCATCTGGACACAATGACAGGACTTTTTGCAAAGTTCTGGGAAATGGAAATCGACGCGTCTTAAAGCGCATTGCTCTTTATCCCGGTGTAACCATCGTCCGCCTGTGTATAAAAAAGGAAAGAGAGCTGTAGTATGTTAGTAATGAAATGCAGAAATGAATGGATTTTGTGATTACGATCTCTTGATGGCGCCTGTATAGATGATAGAGTGTTGGAGGTAAGACTAGAAGCAGATCTACGATAAATTGTAGAATATAGCAATTTGGAAATCATTGATATAGACGTTAATGATTGAGATAAATAAAGAGAAGAGAAAAGAATGAGCGATAAATTAATACTAAAAGAAAGAGAGTATATTAAAATATTTTATTATTATAAGATTAAAAAGTAGAAGATTATATACTAAGATAGATCTTTAAAAGATTGAAATTTTAGAAATTTTATTTTCTTAATTAAAATAAATTATTTATAATATAAATTTAAATAAAAGCTTTTTAATTATAATAATATTTTATTAGCTTTAAATTTCTAATTAATATCTTTCTTTTTTAGAAATTCCTATTATTTTTAGAAATATTATTAAATAATATTAGAAAATTGTTAGTAAGCCTCTGGGATGTATAGATTTATAAGATGGTAATAGTATTCACAAATGGTATCTCTATAAAACCGAT